TGGTTTGGTTATAATGAATCAGTATTTAGTAGACTATTTTACTACATAGGTCTCGTTAGTGGTGGACATTTGGACCACACTCCATACATTTTTGGTCATTGTCCTTTACTAAAATGCGACGTTGCCAAACGAGCGCTACGGATGCGGGTAAGCTAAGCAATACTCAATCCTAAACGCTTTACATAGAGCTTGGTTTGCTAGGGCAAACATCTACAGTGGTGCGCCGACGCTGCTTAGACCCGAAACATGAATGAATGGGGGCGTAGCTTAATCGAGCGTGTGTGTGCAAACAATTTAGGCCCTTAAGGTGTCAAGGCGTCCGAGTCCCCGATAGTACCTTGCAGCTCGGGTCCTACGACGGTGATCAGCGCCGACAGTAGCCGCCCTATGCTGCGGTGCAGGTCTTCCAAGTAGGGCGGCGCACTGAACAGTAGTTTCAGGGCCAGAGGAAGCGTCGACTCCACGTGCGAACGGAACATCGGGCCTGACGCGTCCGCTAGCACTGATAGCGCGTGACGCAAGAGGTCCAGTAGCAGTCACTAGTATACCTTGCAATCACTGGTGTACTTTGCAGTCACTGGTGTACCTTGCAGTCACTGGCGTACCTTGCAGTCACTGGTGTACCTTGCAGCGCCGACAGCGCTTGGTGCTATAAGACTATAGTCTGATCCGTGAGCACGTAGAATTCTGTCCAATGACCCCAAACTACCCATCATTATCGCTCGCGAGTGGCTAAAGTGGTAGGAGGACTATCGCATTTGCACTCATTAAGATGGCGCCACTGTAGAGTAAGGTCCTGTCAATCGCCAGGGGTGCCAACTGTTAAGTATAAAAACGATAGCCCTCATTATATTGCTGTCGCGACTGTGGGACTGGCGCCCGCAGTGAGTGTGCGAGCGCGACAGCAACATAATGAGGGCTATCGTTTTCATACTTAACAGTTGGCACCCCTGGCGATTGACAGGACCTTACTCTACAGTGGCGCCATCTTAATGAGTGCAAATGCGATAGTCCTCCTACCACTTTAGCCACTCGCGAGCGATAATGATGGGTAGTTTGGGGTCATTGGACAGAATTCTACGTGCTCACGGATCAGACTATAGTCTTATAGCACCAAGCGCTGTCGGCGCTGCAAGGTACACCAGTGACTGCAAGGTACGCCAGTGACTGCAAGGTACACCAGTGACTGCAAAGTACACCAGTGATTGCAAGGTATACTAGTGACTGCTACTGGACCTCTTGCGTCACGCGCTATCAGTGCTAGCGGACGCGTCAGGCCCGATGTTCCGTTCGCACGTGGAGTCGACGCTTCCTCTGGCCCTGAAACTACTGTTCAGTGCGCCGCCCTACTTGGAAGACCTGCACCGCAGCATAGGGCGGCTACTGTCGGCGCTGATCACCGTCGTAGGACCCGAGCTGCAAGGTACTATCGGGGACTCGGACGCCTTGACACCTTAAGGGCCTAAATTGTTTGCACACACACGCTCGATTAAGCTACGCCCCCATTCATTCATGTTTCGGGTCTAAGCAGCGTCGGCGCACCACTGTAGATGTTTGCCCTAGCAAACCAAGCTCTATGTAAAGCGTTTAGGATTGAGTATTGCTTAGCTTACCCGCATCCGTAGCGCTCGTTTGGCAACGTCGCATTTTAGTAAAGGACAATGACCAAAAATGTATGGAGTGTGGTCCAAATGTCCACCACTAACGAGACCTATGTAGTAAAATAGTCTACTAAATNTCAGGCCCGATGTTCCGCTCGCACGTGGAGTCGACGCTGCATCTGGCCCTGAAACTACTGTTCAGTGCGCCGCCCTACTTGGAAGACCTGCACCGCAGCATAGGGCGGCTACTATCCGCGCTGATCACCGTCGTAGGACCGGAACTGCAAGGTACGTTAGTGGCTGCTACTAAAGCCCGGTCCGTGAGCACGTAGAATTTTGTCCAATGACCCCAAGCTACCCATCCTTATCGGTCGCGCGTAATGAAGGCTATCGTTTTAGCGCTCACCAGTTAGCGCCACTGTAGAGTAAGGTCCTGTCACTTGCTAGTCCCGAAGACAGTGGCGCCAACTTGTGAGCGCTAAAGTGGTAGGAGGACTATCGCATTTGCACTCATTAAGATGGCGCCACTGTAGAGTAAGGTCCTGTCAATCGCCAGGGGTGCCAACTGTTAAGTATAAAAACGATAGCCCTCATTATATTGCTGTCGCGACTGTGGGACTGGCGCCCGCAGTGAGTGTGCGAGCGCGACAGCAACATAATGAGGGCTATCGTTTTCATACTTAACAGTTGGCACCCCTGGCGATTGACAGGACCTTACTCTACAGTGGCGCCATCTTAATGAGTGCAAATGCGATAGTCCTCCTACCACTTTAGCGCTCACAAGTTGGCGCCACTGTCTTCGGGACTAGCAAGTGACAGGACCTTACTCTACAGTGGCGCTAACTGGTGAGCGCTAAAACGATAGCCTTCATTACGCGCGACCGATAAGGATGGGTAGCTTGGGGTCATTGGACAAAATTCTACGTGCTCACGGACCGGGCTTTAGTAGCAGCCACTAACGTACCTTGCAGTTCCGGTCCTACGACGGTGATCAGCGCGGATAGTAGCCGCCCTATGCTGCGGTGCAGGTCTTCCAAGTAGGGCGGCGCACTGAACAGTAGTTTCAGGGCCAGATGCAGCGTCGACTCCACGTGCGAGCGGAACATCGGGCCTGACGCGTCAGCCAGCACTGACAGGGCGTGACGCAATAAGACTTGTAGCAGTCACTGTCGTACCTTGCAGTCACTGGCGTACCTTACAGTCACTGGCGTACGTTGCAGTCACTGGCGTACCTTACAGTCACTGGCGTACCTTGCAGTCACTGGTGTACCTTGCAGCGCCAACAGCGCTTGATGCTATAAGACTATAGTCTGGTCCGTGAGCACGTAGAATTTTGTCCAATGACCCCAAGCTACCCATCCTCATCGCTCGCGAGTGATTATATTGCTGTCGCGACTGTACGACGGGCGCCCGCAGTGAGTGTGCGAGCGCGACAGCAACATAATTACGATGAGGATGGGTAGCTTGGGGTCATTGAACAAAATTCTACGTGCTCACGGACCGGGCTTTAGTAGTAGCCACTAACGTACCTTGCAGCTCCGGTCCACGTGCGAACGGAACATCGGACCTGACGCGTCAGCCAGCCCTGACAGCGCGTGACGCAATAAGACTTGTCGCAGTCACTGTCGTACCTTGCAGTCACTGGCGTACCTTATAGTCACTGGCGTACGTTGCAGTCACTGGCGTACCTTACAGTCACTGGCGTACCTTGCAGTCACTGGTGTACCTTGCAGCGCCGACAGCGCTTGATGCTATGAGACTATAGTCTGGTCCGTGAGCACGTAGAATTTTGTCCAATGACCCCAAGCTACCCATCCTTATCGCTCGCGAGTAATTATATTGCTGTCGCGCTCGCACACTCACTGCGGGCGCCAGTCCCACAGTCGCGTAGCTTNACGTGCGAACGGAACATCGGGCCTGACGCGTCAGCCAGCACTGACAGCTGTACCTTGTAGTCACTGGTGTACCTTGCAGTCACTGACGTACCTTGCAGTGACTGGCGTACCTTGCAGTCACTGGCGTACCTTGCAGTCACTGGCGTACCTTGCAGTCACTGGCGTACCTTGCAGTCACTGGCGTACCTTGCAGTCACTGGCGTACCTTGCAGTCACTGGCGTACCTTGCAGTCACTGGCGTACCTTGCAGTCACTGGCGTACCTTTCAGTCACTGGCGTACCTTGCAGTCACTGGCGTACCTTGCAATTACTGGCGTACCTTGCAGCGCCAACAGCGCTTGATGCTATAAGACTAGTAGCAGCCAATAATGTACCTTGCAGCTCCGGTCCTACGACGGTGATCAGCGCTGATAGCAGCCGCCCTATGCTGCGGTGCAGGTCCTCCAAGTAGGGCGGCGCACTGAACAGTAGTTTCAGGGCCAGATGCAGCGTCGACTCCACGTGCGAACGGAACATCGGGCCTGACGCGTCCGCTAGCACTGACAGGGCGTGACGCAATAAGACTTCTCGCAGTCACTAGAGTGTACCTTGCAGCGCCAACAGCGCTTGATGCTATAAGACTATAGTCTGGTCCGTGAGCACGTAGAATTTTGTCCAATGACCCCAAGCTACCCATCCTTATCGCTCGCGAGTAATTATATTGCTGTCGCGACTGTGGGACTGGCGCCCGCAGTGAGTGTGCGAGCGCGACAGCAACATAATTACGCGCGAGCGATAAGGATGGGTAGCTTGGGGTCATTGGACAAAATTCTACGTGCTCACGGACCGGGCTTTAGTAGCAGCCACTAACATACCTTGCAGTTCCGGTCCTACGACGGTGATCAGCGCTGACAGTAGCCGCCCTATGCAGTCACTAGCGTACCTTGCAGCGCCAACAGCGCTTGATGCTATAAGACTAGTAGCAGCCACTGGCGTACCTTGCAGCGCCGACAGCGCTTGATGCTATAAGACTAGTAGCAGCCACTAACTTACCTTGTAGCTCCGGTCCTACGACGGTGATCAACGCTGACAGTAGCCGCCCTATGCTGCGGTGCAGGTCTTCCAAGTAGGGCGGCGCACTGAACAGTAGTTTCAGGGCCAGATGCAGCGTCGACTCCACGTGCGAACGGAACATCGGGCCTGACGCGTCAGCCAGCACTGACAGCGCGTGACGCAATAAGACTTCTCGCAGTCACTAGAGTGTACCTTGCAGCGCCAACAGCGCTTGGTGCTATAAGACTATAGTCTGATCCGTGAGCACGTAGAATTTTGTCCAATGACCCCAAGCTACCCATCTTTATCGCTCGCGAGTAATTATATTGCTGTCGCGACTGTGGGACTGGCGCCCGCAGTGAGTGTGCGAGCGCGACAGCAACATAATTACGCGCGAGCGATAGGGATGGGTAGCTTGGGGTCATTGGATAAAATTCTACGTGATCGCAGACCAGACTATAGTATAATGTACCTTGTAGCTCCGGTCCTACGACGGTGATCAGTGCCGACAGTAGCCGCCCTATGCTGCGGTGCAGGTCTTCCAAGTAGGGCGGCGCACTGAACAGTAGTTTCAGGGCCAGATGCAGCGTCGACTCCACGTGCGAGCGGAACATCGGGCCTGATGCGTCAGCCAGCACTGACAGCGCGTGGATTGACCACACCTGGTGAGAAATAATAGTTAGAAGAAGAAGAAGACTATGATATTCATGAGACAAAGTTTCAAATGTCAAATTGCGTACAGCTGGATAATTCTTATTGGACAGAGTATCGCCCTTGATGTTATAAATAGTACACGCAATTGTGCTGAATAACTGAGTTAATTCTAGATTTTGTGGCGTACCACAGTCAAATTGAGGATCCTACAATGGATCTTTGCAGTAGCTTTACATGCTACGATGGATGTTCGGCGGTCCAGTTTCACACGGCGGCAGCGGCGGCGGCACTAGATTGGAGCGAGGCGGCACTAAGCTGGAGCAAGCACCTGCAGTTGCGCCAGCGCCCTTAGCACGGGCAACGCTGCGGCGCTAGAGGCGATCCCGCACGCGCGGTGCCCGAATCCCACGGAGCGGCGGCACTAGATTAAAGCGAGACGACACTAGGCTGGAGCAAAGCAGCACTAGACTGGAGCGAGGCGGCACTAGACTGGAGCACGCATCTGCAGCTCGCCATTAGCTGCATCCTGCGCCAGCGCCCTCAGCACAGGCAGCGTTGCGGCGCTGGAGGCGGCACTAAGCTGGAGCACGCACCTGCAGCTTGCCACTAGCTGCGTCCTGCACCAGCGCTCTCAAGTTGAGAGTCTCAACACCGGCAACGCAGCGGCACTAGAGGCGGTCCCGCGCGCGTCGTGCACGCAGCCCACGGCGGCGGCGGCAGCAGTATAGACTGGAGCAGCGGCAATAGGCTAGATCGGCGGTACTAATCTGGAGTACGCACCTGTAATTCCCCGCTGGCGGCGTCCTGCGCTAGCGCACTTAACACGGGCAAGGGAGCGGCGGCGGCGGCATTAGATTGGAACGGCGGCACTAGACTAGAGGCACGCACCTGCAACTCGCCACTGGCTGCGTCCTGCGCCAGCGTCCTCAGAATCGGTAACGCAGCAGCGCTAGAGGCGGTCCCACGCGCGCGATGCACGCAGCCCACAGCAGCGGCGGCGGCGGCGCGCGTGTGACGTGCGGGTGACGCGCGTGCGAGAGCCAACACGCGGTCGCCTAATGCCTGGGCTTCAGTCTCTGTGATACAGCCGCAAAGACGCCCTGCGCACGACGCGGCTGCGACGCGAACCGTCGCGCTAGTTGCTGAGAGGCCGCTCTGTAAAGATATACGATGAAATACATCAAGAGAATCCACCGATCAAGTTAGTTGCATTGCAGTCGCGCGCATCAGAATTCAAAAGGCTAAAAACAAATTCGCCCACCCACAAGGTGGACCGACGACCTCATAAAGGTAGCAGGAAGGCGCTGGATGCAAGCCGCTACCAACCAATATGGAAATCATTGGGGAGGCCTATGTTCAGTAGGAGACGTCTTGTGACTGAAATGATGATAATGATGAAAATCAAATTACGGTTGCACGTCAACACTTGTCGGCGCGTGACCATCTCCACTTAGCCTAAAGCTGCAATAAACGGGTCATCTGTAACTCGTAACTGTTTTTGACATGTGTACATTCTAAGTGCGCTTGCGCATGTCTAACAAAAGCACATCTTTTACAAACATTAACGTCAGCAATCATCAACACACATTTCGACAATAATTATTATACTCACAATAATCAACTCAGTAGCGACAGTTTTCACAGCCTCCTGTCCCAAAGAGCTCTTCTGCTCAGCCAAGGTCCTCAAGGCGAGGAGCAGAGCGGTGTATACGTTCACTTGGATCGCCTCTTGCCGCGGGCCTTTGGACATCTTGATGCATTCCGCGAAGTGTTCGAGCATTTGTTGCCTGAAAGAAAAGGTTTACTTTCAAATCTTCGTTGCAAATTGAAGTGTCTAATGCCCGTTTTCAACATCAATCCCTAATTTTTAAGTGACCCCTATGGTAACATAGCAGGAATTTTGTTTTCAAAGGGGTCAATTAAAAAATAGGGATTAATGGTGAAAACGGGCATAAGTGTCTATTATGGAAACCTATTCTGTAATAAAAAACTTTTTTTTATTACAGTGCTTGAGGTATGTTTGAGAGCAGTAGGAAAGAGGTGATACAACTGACATACGACATGACAGAGCATTCAGGTTTGATGCACATCTGAAGTCTCGTTGACGTTTGACTTCACTAAAAAGGTGTTTTATCCCCTGCAACTTCCATAGCTCAGGTACTCACATCAAGAATCGTAAAACTTACCTGTGCTTGTTAGCCGCCCTGGCGAATATGAGCGGGAACAGAGCGACCGCCGCGTCTATAACCGCCACTCCCAAAGGCTGGGCGGCCGACGCAGCCGACGATGACGGTGTCTGGGACGTGGTGCCACGGTATACACAGCACGGGTCGTATCCTAGTGACTATATGAGCTAGAGGAGACACTGATGCTCTTTAGCCACAACTTACCTGTGCTTGTTAGCCGCCCTGGCGAATATGAGCGGGAACAGAGCGACCGCCGCGTCTATGACCGCCACTCCTAAAGGCTGGGCGGCCGACGCAGCCGACGATGACGGTGTCTGGGACGTGGTGCCGCGGTATACACAGCACGGGTCGTGTTCTAGTTGCTATATGAGCTAGAGGAGACACTGATGCTCTTTAGCAACACCTTACCTGTGCTTGTTAGCCGCCCTGGCGAATATGAGCGGGAACAGAGCGACCGCCGCGTCTATGACGGCCACTCCTAAAGGCTGGGCGGCCGACGCAGCCGACGATGACGGTGTCTGGGACGTGGTGCCGCGGTATACACAGCACGGGTCATGTTCTAGTGGCTTTATGCTAGAGGAGACACTGATGCTCTTTAGCCACAACTTACCTGTGCTTGTTAGCCGCCCTGGCGAATATGAGCGGGAACAGAGCGACCGCCGCGTCTATGACCGCCACTCCTAAAGGCTGGGCGGCCGACGCAGCCGACGATGACGGTGTCTGGGACGTGGTGCCGCGGTATACACAGCACGGGTCGTGTCCTAATGGCTATATGAACTAGAGGAGACACTGATGTTCTTTAGCCACAACTTACCTGTGCTTGTTAGCCGCCCTGGCGAATATGAGCGGGAACAGAGCGACCGCCGCGTCTATGACCGCCACTCCTAAAGGCTGGGCGGCCGACGCAGCCGACGATGACGGTGTCTGGGACGTGGTGCCGCGGTATACACAGCACGGGTCGTGTCCTAATGGCTATATGAACTAGAGGAGACACTGATGTTCTTTAGCCACAACTTACCTGTGCTTGTTAGCCGCCCTGGCGAATATGAGCGGGAACAGAGCGACCGCCGCGTCTATAACCGCAACTCCTAGAGGCTGGGCGGCCGACGCAGCCGACGATGACGGTGTTTGGGACGTGGTGCCGCGGTACACACAGCACGGGTCATGTTCTAAGGCGCCTGAGCCGCGCGCGCTTAGTGGCGATATTAGCTGTAAGAGAGAGAAACACTGGTATACAGAGAGAAATGAAGATTTCCGTAAACGAACTAAAGTCGCTGACATAGCCCAACGGATTAGCAAGCTGAAGTGGCAATGGGCAGGGCATATAGTACGCAGAACTGACGGCGCAGCGTAGGACGTCTACCCATGATGATGATACTTTTTATGGGTGTATGTTTATGGTGGAATGTTAAACATACCTGTTCTTCAATTTCTGCGTGATCTGTGTCATAGATCCAGCATTCTTCACCAAGTAGGATAGTGTCGCGCGGATGCATTGCTGACATGAGGAGCCCTAAAAAGTAAATAATATAACAATTTAAAAATAGAATGTATTTATTTACATCAAAAGTCAGTATTATCGACATAGCAGCACATCGCTGCTTGGTACAGATGTAGACGTAGACAAAAACGAAGAGTCGCTAGGAGTGCCACTATGTATGTAGCAACATTAACCACACTAGGGTCACTCTTAAACCGCCTCTGTGGTCTAGTGGTTAGACCACCTGCTTCAGACGCAGAGGTCCCGGGTTCGATTCCCAGTGGCGGCAGATTTTTCTGTTCGGTTTGGTTGGTGGTAGGGCTTGTTCTAAGTCCGCCTGGCTAGCTACCACCATCTTACCTAAGTCTGTCGCCATAACAACAATGTTAACAGCATTGTTGTGTTCCGGCAGTTAGAGGTAAGATAGCCAGTTCCTCCGTGGTTGAGGATTCCGGGTGAAGCTCGCTTCCACCTTCGGCCTGATCGTCACTTACTATCAGGTGAGATACAGGCCAAGAGCTTCCTCGTTGTGGATAAAAAAAAAAACTCAAGCCAGCGATCTCAGAGGAAGGCGGTGCTAGTAATGCCACTGCTAGACGACATCGCAGTTTCAGCAGCAATGCGGAGATGTAAAGCTCGCACACTCCCTACGGACGCCCGTCGCACAGTCGCGACAGCAATATAAAAAATTACGCGCGAGCGATAAGGATGGGTAGCTTGGGGTAATTCTAGTGCTCTCAGACTAGACTATAATAGCCTTAATTCCCTACGGTTAGAGGCCAGGGTTGTCGCCTTAATCCAGAGGCTAGGAGATTATACCTATAGCAACATTAGCTCCGCTAGGATCAGCCGAGCCCGCGATCTCAGCCGCCAACAGTCTCAACAGGGGCGCCGCGGGAGGGGCAGGTGCGGCAGGGGCGGTGGCGGCGTGGGGCGCTAATGCGGCCGCCGCTTGGTACAGACGTAGATGTAGACTAGGAGTCACTAAGAGTGCTACTATGTATGTAGCAACGTTAGCCCTACTAGGGTCAGCCAAATCGTCAGCAAACGTAATAATGGTGCCAGGGGGCGGGGCCTACATTGTCACTATAGTTCGCTCGTAATTATGTTGCTATCGCGCTCGCACACTCACTGTGGCCGCCCGTCGCACAGTCGCAGCGATAAGGATGGGTAGCTTGGGGTCATTGGACGAAATGACTCGACCAGGCTTTAGTCACTACCTAAGTAAGTCGTAGTCTCAAGTTTGGGTAACCCACTATACCTGTAGCAACATTAGCTCCGCTAGGATCAGCCGAGCCAGCGATCTCAGCCGCCAACAGTCTCAACAGGGGCGCCGCGGGAGGGGCAGGTGCGGCAGGGGCGGTGGCGGCGTGGGGCGCTAATGCTGCCGCCGCTTGGTACAGTCGCAGGCGGAGGAGCGCCGCCGGGGCTTTTAGGGCTCCACCGTAGTTGCGGACTACGCCGCCGACGCTGGAAAGACATTTTACGTAAACGTTCTCAACCCTAATTGATTATACTTTTCCTAGCGGAACCCTACTTTGATAAATGGAAATTTAAATGAAAAACTATAAAGTTTTTATGCAATTATTTGTAAACAAGTCGGTGCGCGCGAACAACGTCGGTCACGAAACGTGGGAAAATATTTTTTACGGAACCCTTGCGGCCTTTCCACGGAACCCCAGGGTTCCGCGGACCACCTTTCGGGAACCGCTGCTCTAGACTATCAAAACAAGGGTTTGACATAACAAAGCATACATTTTCTTCAAAAGTTGATCAAAGATTGAGTGACAGTGGCAATAAGAAAAATACAACCGCACTACAGCTTTACAAAATATGACGAAAATTCAGCGTACCAGTAAAGCCCTTTTAGAATTAGGGTAAACCTAAATAAAACAGCAAATTATCATGATTCATGACTTACTTGGTCAAAACAGCAATGGCTCCGTCAATAGGCTGCGACAGCCGCTTAGCCGTGTCGTCACTGTTTACCAGAGATGGACAGTGAATCAGCAAACTGTGCAGCGCTGACAACGCGCCCGCGCGACCTTCTAATGTCACCTGTGGATCATTCATTCACATTCGTTCATTCATTCAATTACATTTCGCATATTATTTGTAAAAATATACTCTTGGAATTATAGCAAAAATTTGGAAGAATGCATGTCTATTAGGATTTTGGCGTTTGACATATTCAATCGTAGTACTGCGGCGACGTACTTATCTTAGCCTCCGTAGAATGGAATCTTATATCTTTTAAAATTCAAGTCTGCAAATCTACCAAACAACTCACCTGCCAAGTAAATGCGTCACCCCGTGCTTTTTCAGATTCCAGTTCTTTAGCGGAACGCGGGAAGCTGTTTCTCCATAGCAGCAACATTCTAGGCAGCAAGCCTCGCACTACTGGCACTCCTGTAAAAATGGTAATAGACTGAAGATCTGAATAATTAAAACTCTGAGTTGACATGAATTGTAATTAGCAGAACTATTTAACTTCCCGAGAGGCATCGAAAACAAAACACGCGTGGCATACCCGCGAGTAATGAGTGAGTAACAAGCGCGCGCGTTTTCACCCATTTACAAAAAAATCGCTATAGAAAGAAAAAATACGCGTGTGGTACGCTAAATGGCGACACAGTAGCTTCATCTGCTAATACCGAAACGGAGCTCGAGTCTTTTAAAATACTCCCCCTTTTGAGAAATAAATAAAGTTGCACTCACCTAGAGTACAAATAGCTCCAACAATAAGCCAGCCAGCGTTGATCCTGGCAGCGGTCAACCTGCTGCTCTGGCCAGCCGATCTTAGCAGCTGTTCCGCCGCGTTAAAGGCTATTTTTCCTCGCCCGTGTGGAATGCCCAGTCGCGATAGACGGACCGCGCCGAGTATAGCTGCTAACGCTGCTGAATATCCTGCACAAAGATACAAAAAGACAATGCCGGAAATTGGCGTCTTTTTTTTTTCGCGCCGCCGTCAAAAAACCTTGTTTTTTGATTACAAAATAGTGTAATAAACCAAACTTACTACGACATGTATACCTCTAAACTCAGTCTGAACTGAGTTACGAGCATTAGAAGTGTGATGATTTCCTACTAGATTTGCTTTTTGCGCGCAAGTTTTGTATGAAGTTGCAACAAAATAGTGACACTGTATGTGTAAACAAACAATACCATCCATTAAAGGCTCCAGACATCAGTGTGGAGTAGAATCAGCGCAATAAAAATATAGCGGAATATTTTGTTCCAATTTCTTACAAAACTTGCGCGCAAAAAGCAAATCTAGTATGTAAATCATCAAACTTCTAACGCTTGTAACTCAGTTCAGACTGAGTTTAGAGGTATACATGTCATAGTAAGTTTGGTTTATTGCACTATTTTGTAATCAAAAAACAAAGTTTGGTCGATGGCCGCGCTAAAAAAAAAGACGCCACCTTCCATACAAAATCTGGCATTGCCATATAATGTTAATTGTTTTTCAGTCATAGGACGTTGTATACAGGAGTATCCAGGGACAAATTAAGCTGATGACTAAAGAGAGTTGGATACTGCTTCTTTAGGGGATTAATGTTTCTATCCATTTTTTAAAAACACATTTCCTTTGATACTTACGTGAAAAGCTAAAATTAGTAGGCTATAAAAAAAATATTTTGTAGTCCCGTAGCGATTCTCAATCGACTACTAGAGACCAGAAAGTGCTCCTTCAGTAGACACAAAATGATATCTACACTAATATTATAAAGAGGAAAACTTTGTTTGTTTGTTTGTTTGTATGTAATGAATAGGCTCAAAAACTACTGGACCGTTTTTAAAAATTCTTTCACCATTCGAAAGCTACATTATCCACGAGTATCATAGGCTAAATTTTATTTTGGAAAAAAATAGGGTTCCGTGAAATATGTGGATAATATAGGCCACGCGCGCGAAGCCGCGGGCGGAAAGCTAGTCATTAATAAGGCTGATGTTGACTAGCATGGACGACCGCAAATGACGGTAAACACTGTGGAATTTTGTGTAAAGCCTGGTCCGTGAGCACGTAGAATCCCGTCCAATGACCCCAAGCTACCCATCCTTATCACTCGCGCGTAATTATATTGCTGTCGCGACTGTAAGACGCGCGCCCGCAGTGAGTGTGCAAGTGCGACAGCAACATAATTACGTGCGAGCCACAAGGATGGGCAGCTTGGGGTCATTGGACGGGATTCTACGTGCTCACGGACCAGGCTTTAGTTATAATAGAGGCTATTGCAACAGAAATAGATACGTAGTTTCTCTACTGTAGTACCTGCAATATGGTGCGGCGTGGGCCTGGGCGCGTCAAGCGCAGTACAACAGGCATCTAGTAGTGGCGTTAACTGCGACGGGAGAGCAACGCATACGCATCGTGCACATCTTGCTGCGGCAAGGCGAGCGGCTGCACAAGGATGTTCTAGCACCTGGTTAGAAACGAAGTGTTTAGATTGTTTATTTTTGTTCCCCAGTGGATGAAGCACCTGATGTCGTGCCTGAGTGCCCAAGCAACTGCATTCAGGAGGATTTGATGAGTGCTGCTGACAACGCCACTCTTGTGGCGGAGTTTTGGGCTGACACTGTGAAGGTTTGTTGTCGACACAAAAAGAAGAAGATTGTTTATTAAGCGCCATCTAGTGATTAAGTTGAGTATGAAGAAGTGTGCTTGGATAGTTTATTGTAATAAAGTATGGTGAACTAGCACTATAGGCACAAGACAATACAAAACACCTGCATAAATCACCTAAATCAGTACAAACTCGTTTAATTTAACCTCACAGAGTAGCCCGGTATGCGAAACACATGGACTTAAATTTTATGAAAATACCCACAAAATATTTTATGACATTGAAATTGAATCTTCGTGGTACAAAGTCATTTGAATCCTAAATAAATACCATCTATACACCACTACAAATTAATTAATTTTCGAATCGAGTCATACGATATCATTCGATGACTTTGCGAATGCAGTACGATGATACGATTACTTTTACGTTGCGGCAATCACTATAATTCGCTAAAATGACACTAATGACGTTTAAAAAGTGGCACGCTCGGCTTCATACAATTTTTGACACATGCTTCATCTATCCATATCTGTGGACTGTCCTGTCGATGACATTGACAGTGGGGCGCCACCGTCAATACCGGATCGCTGGTTCAGATTTTTGCCATGTTGGAAACCATATAGTTGAACGATGGTAGCGCTCCCCTGTCATTGAGTTTGGCGGGACAGTTCAGCGTGGGTCATCTATACTATAGATGACCCACGCTGAACTGTCCCACGGCAAAAATCTGAACCAGCGATCCGGTATTGACGGTGGCGCCCCACTGTCAATGTCATCGACAGGACAGTCCAGTATTTTGGAACTATACTACTAGTGATGCGACAAAATCTCTCGTTAATCTCTCGAAATGTCATTTACGGACTGCAACAGACGACTACTAGATTTTCAAAGATCGTTTGTATAATTATTAAGATCAATCCCTCTTCTGATTGATGTTGAGATCAGTAATGTGATCGTCAAAATAGGATCTTCTTAATCAAAGAAAATTTGATTTTCCCTCTTTTATTTGTTTAGGAAATATAAGGGTTCCCTACGTTTTATCGAAAGTCGTTTCATCGAAGGTCGTTTCATCGAAGCCGTTTCATCGATTGGTCATAATCTCGAACGTACGAAATATCGAATGCCGTATCATCGAATGGTCACATTATCGAATGGTCGGATCATCGAATATCTTAGCGTTGAAAGGTTGTATAATAAAGAGTTACCTACTTACTAATAAAAGTTAGTAGTAACTCGTTGAACACTTGTTTAGAGTGACGTTTAATATGGAAATGTCACTTTAAACTACTGTTCAACGAGTGTGTAACTTTTTAATAGTAAGGGAGTTAATCATGACATCGATATAAAAAATGTGTCTATAAAGTGAAAATACCTATAGAATAACACAATAGCATTCGGCCGCCAGACCTGGCTGTATGATGCACTCACGCCAAGATGATGTGAGTGCATCATCATCTGATGTACAAGCTAAATAAAAAAACATACCTACATACGGCGAAATTCAACTTTCAGGTTCTAAATTCAAATCACTTTACCGCCCTTTTACAATTTTGGCGGCTATTTTGGTGGTTTGAAAACGCATTTTCTTGATAGGTACTTAACTTAATCCTTAACCACATGTCATTAATCTTGATAGTTGGATATTTTAAGTTACGGGAAAAAAGCTGGGTTTAACTAACTTAGGCTGAGTTGCACCACCTAACTTTGACCCGATCGCTGGTTCCGATATTTGCCATGTTGGAAACTATACACCACTAAANCTAATTAACTTCAGTGCGGGTCCAATGTCAGTACAACTTTCCCCCGAAACAGACTTGACCTTCACTAGTTGTTTGTTATACACCACTACATTTTTATCACCGGAAAAAAAAATCTGGGTAATGAGTTATTGATACTGATCCTATTTATGCAAAAAAAAAAGTTAAATAAAGCTACTCAAAATTTCATCCCAAAATTGGTAATATTTGGACACACGCGTCGCTAGCACTATTTACGCTCAACGCAAGGCCGCCCGTTACTATGGAGAGAGATGCGACGTTGCCGGCCCGACGCTTCCTAAAGGCGGCGGTGTACGTTTCTTGTGCGGCCATTATCACCCGCGAGCCACGAGCGAGAGGGCGGCGCGGGGCCGCGGCCCGCGCCGCCCCTCTCGCTCTTCCGGCCGCCGGCCGCGGTCGGTCAGTTGCGCGCGCGCGAGCTCTTTATCGGTCGTGAAGTTTAGNTTTTTTTTACTTTATAATTTTCACACATTTCTACATAACCTGTTAAAAATTTTCCGGTGATAAAAAAGTAGTAGTGTATATATAAAAGAAAGTCGTGTTAGTTACTCCACTTATAACTCAAGAACGGCTGAACCGATTTAGCTGAAAATTGTCAGGGAGGTAGTTTAGAGCCAGGAGAAGGACATAGGATACTTTTTATCCCGTTCGAAATTAAAAAAAAAGTCTGCTTACTTATTGCCATTAAGGCGGAACAAAGTTCGCCGGGTCAGCTAGTTAATTATAAATAATTGCTCATGAAATAATTTTTTAATTCAAAAATGTGATATATTTTTACTAACTTAATATTACAATATACTTACAGAGAATATAGCATTGATCATGTTAAGCGAAGTGTCCGAGATGAGATTCTGCACCGAGGTGCCAAGCTGCAAAGACAGCTCTCCTATTTCCGTCAATGCGCATACAAGCAAATGCTGGCTGAATAGTGTTTCCTGAAAAAGAAAAAAATAAATTAGTCGTATTTGTAGTCTTTTTATCCCACTAAATTACCAGCACGGTTTATGTCTTCCTTTGTAGGTTTAACAAAGATTACTGGTGACTTTTCTAACAAAAACTTGATCACGACCACTCAGATGAAAGACAAGTCGACCTTATTAATGTAGGAGAATAAGAACTTTGTATCAGTGCTTGTGTTAAATTCCCTCGGAGCTGAGTTGTCAGGGTGGTCGACTTGTGGAAGGGGTTAAGTTGTCAGAGGACGAGTTGTTGTAGGGTTCGAGTTGTCGAAGGTCAAATTGTCGTAGGGGCTAGTAGTCAGAGATCCAGTTATCGGCGCGGCACGCGGCCGCTTGCGCCTAATCGCTGAGCCCAGCGTTGCCGTAGGGCTCGAGTTGTCATAGGGGTCGTGTTGTCACAGGGGTTGAGATATCATAGGGGTCGAGTCATCAGAGGTCAAGTTGTCACCTGGTTGCAGTCCTTGGCGTTCTCGGGGTTGAAGTCGATGCTGGCCACCGACTGCAGCAGCGTGTGCGCGAGCGCGCGACACGCGGCCGCTTGTGCCTTCTCGCCGAGCATAGAGCCTAATGTGTTGCGGAGGATGTAGTCGTCACAGGGGTCGAGTTGTCATAGGGGTCGAGTTGTCATAGGGGTCGAGTTGGCATAGGGGTCGAGTTGTCAAAGGGGTCGAGATGTCATAGGGGTCGAATTATTATAGATCGAATTGTCATAGGGCTAGTTGTCATAGGTCAAGTTGTCATAGGGGTAGAGTTGTCATAGAGGTCGAGGAATTGTCATAGGTCGAGTTGTCATAGGGGTCGAGTTGTCATAGGGGTCTAGTTGTCATAGGGGTCTAGTTGTCATAGGGGTCTAGTTGTCATAGGGGTCGAGTCATCAGAGGTCAAGTTGTCACCTGGTTGCAGTCCTTGGCGTTCTCGGGGTTGAAGTCGATACTGGCCATCTGCTGCAGCAGCGTGTGAGCGAGCGCGCGACAGGCCGCCGCTTGTGCCTTCTCGCCGAGCATGGAGCCTAGTGTATTGCGGAGAATGTAGTTTATACACTTTCTGGAATAAAAAAACACAAATCGGTGACAGAGCCACATGCTAAAGACAACACTAGTCACTACTCTGGTCGGCTTTGCAACATGCTACAGACAACACTAGTCACTACACTTGTCAGTAACTTATTACACACAACACTAGTAGACTGAAGCGATCGATGCTCTACTTGTGTCAATAGAAGCGCTTCATTAGTGTAGGCGCTCACTGGGCGACAAGCAACAGCGACAGATCGGCGACTAGACACCTATTTTTGTCAATTTCATATATTCAAATTTTGATTTGATTTGATTTTTTGATTTTGATCAAAAATATTTTATTCTACTTTGACCACTGGTGGCACTTTTGAAAGTCAAATACATTTAAAAAAAGGTAGCTCTTATTTAGCTCGCCGTCGCGACTCCGCGACTGATGTCAAGTGTGCGAAGTTTATGGTCTATTTTTCTGACATTATGGCATCTTGATTTGTGTGAGAGGGATGGGTGTGTACAGGACCGGATTTACAGATTTATAATCTGTTAATCCACCACTGCGTGTGTACCTAGCCTTTAGCCTAAGGAAGGCAAGAAATTTCAGATTTATTATTATTATTATTCTGTCTAATGGCTTCAATGGTGCGAATTTCAGATTTTATGCCCATGTGTAGTTGTACTGACCTTGAATAAACTGCGTCGACGTGCGAGCTAGCTGCCTTCGGGTTGGCCACCAAGTCCAAGACATGTGTTAGGAACGTCGTCATGTTCCGTTCTAGCCACACTCCACCCATGTTTTGGACGAAGATCACGTACGCCTGCGAATAGATTAACATATAGATACTCAGAAATTAAAATTCTTGAGTGTTGTAGAATTACGAGAGCGTAGATGAAGAAAGAAAAGCTGTCACTTTATTTAAAATCATATTTTACAGTCAATTGAAACCTGATTGGGTTTTCTGTGGTGAAAAGTATGTGTTCTTTTTGTCTTTTTTATAAACTGTGCTACTAAAACTAACTTTATAATATATCTTAACTTCTTAACCCAAGCAGATGAAGAATAAAAAAGGTTAAATAGCTCTTCCTCTTCTTTCATATCTACAAAAATATTTAAAGTAAAATACCTTTCCAATTTCAATTTACAATCAAACTTACATGTGTCACGCAAACTCGGACCTCCCTATTCACTCCCGAGCCAGACTTGATGATTTCTCCCTTGAGGAACGAAGTGCCTCCTCTCAAGAATGCGCCCATCAGTAAGTTTAACGCTTCTTCTAGTGACACCACGTTCTTTGGCGGATCCTTTTTGTTTTGTTGAACTGCCAAGGGAAAATCAAACTTAGTACGGTGTAAAAAGGGTACAATTTGTCTCGGCTTTCATTCATCATGGAAATAGGTAATAGAGAAGGGAGTGTTTAATATACCTGATTGAGCTCCGACTTTCAATTTACTGTTTAGGTTTGTAGCTTCTCCTGCTTGTGTTGCCGCCATTAAAGCGCCGAGAAGTTCAGCAATGGCACATCTGGGAAAAAAATAATTTATTTTAAGTAATTGTCATAAATTACCGAGTAATTTGTCGTGAACAATGAACAATCTACTAGAGTGGTTGCTTTTCATCATTTATAGATTACATAGGAATAAGATTTTTCCCATTTGTCGATTTCTTGAGTTGTTGTAAATGATGGAGTTGTAGGGAGTCAAGTTGTCGGGGTCTAGTTGTCGAAGGTTGAGTTTTCGATGGTCAAATTGTCGTATATTTGGTACAACACCTGAGCGCGTAGTCGCTAGGGTGGGCCGCTCTCAAGCAAGCAGCGGCTATGGCGTCCACGTCAGCAGCGTCAGCTTCATCAGCGGCAGCAATCGTCGCAGCGTGTGTGCCGCTCCCGCGCGAACTACAGACGCGCGTTCGCTAAGTAGAGACTCGGACAGCTGGAATTGAATACAGTGGGACTGACCTGAGCGCGTAATCGCTAGGGTGGGCCGCTCTCAAGCAAGCAGCGGCTATGGCGTCCACGTCAGCAGGCGTCAGCTTCATCAGCGGCAGCAATCGTCGCAGCGTGTGCGCCGCGCCCGCGCGAACTACTGAAACCCGCTCTCAAGATAGAAACCTATACCTACTATACAGCTGGATGACATAGTGGGACAGTTTAGCTTCCACAGAACAGATCAGAATAAGCTTAATTCGGATCTATCAATTATTATGTTGCCTATACTCGCATCTCTTCGGCGAGTTGAAGGATCGAGTAGTCGAGTTTTCGAGTGTCGAGTTGGCTAAATCGAATTGTCGGAGGACAATTCGTCTTGAGGTCGAGTTGCGTTGACTTGGTCAAGTCCGATTTGAGTTGCTATGGGTCATATTGACATAAATTCTGTAAGCACCTGAGCGCATAGTCGCTAGAGTGGGCCGCTCTCAAGCAAGCAGCGGCTATGGCGTCCACGTCAGCAGGCGTCAGCTTCATCAGCGGCAGCAATCGTCGCAGCGTGTGCGCCGCTCCCGCGCGAACTACTGACGCTCGCTCGCTTGATAGAGACATACAACAAGATCGGGACAAAGTGGAACAAACCTGAGCGCATAGTCGCTAGGGTGGGCCGCTCTCAAGCAAGCTGCGGCTATGGCGTCCACGTCAGCAGGAGTTAACTTCATCAGCGGCAGCAATCGTCGCAGCGTATGCGCCGCTCCCGCGCGAACTACAGACGCGCGTTCGCTAAGTAGAGACTCAGACAGCTGGAATTGAATACAGTGGGACTGACCTGAGCGCGTAGTCGCTAGGGTGGGCCGCTCTCAAGCAAGCTGCGGCTATGGCGTCCACGTCAGCAGGAGTTAACTTCATCAGCGGCAGCAATCGTCGCAGCGTGTGTGCCGCTCCCGCGCGAACTACTGAAGCCCGCTCTCAAGATAGAAACCTATACCTACTATACAGCTGGATGACATAGTGGGACAGACCTGAGCGCGTAGTCGCTAGGATGGGCCGCTCTCAAGCAAGCAGCGGCTATGGCGTCCACGTCAGCAGGTGTCAGCTTCATCAGGCCCGCTCGCACTACTGACGACCGCTCACTGGATAGACACCTATACTATACTATACAACTGGATGACAGTGGGACAGACCTGAGCGCGTAGTCGCTAGGGTGGGCCGCTCTCAAGCAAGCTGCGGCTATGGCGTCCACGTCAGCAGGAGTTAACTTCATCAGCGGCAGCAATCGTCGCAGCGTGTGTGCCGCTCCCGCGCGAACTACTGAAGCCCGCTCTCAAGATAGAAACCTATACCTACTATACAGCTGGATGACATAGTGGGACAGACCTGAGCGCGTAGTCGCTAGGATGGGCCGCTCTCAAGCAAGCTGCGGCTATGGCGTCCACGTCAGCAGGCGTCAGCTTCATCAGCGGCAGCAATCGTCGCGAACTACTGATGTTCGCTAGATAGACACCTATACAACTGGATGACAGTGGGACAAACCTGAGCGCGTAGTCGCTAGGGTGGGCCGCCCTCAAGCAAGCAGCGGCTATGGCGTCCACGTCAGCAGGAGTTAACTTCATCAGCGGCAGCAATCGTCGCAGCGTGTGTGCCGCGCCCGCGCGAACTTACTGACGCTCGCTCGCTAGATAGAGACCTATACAACTGGATGACAGTGGGATAAACCTGAGCGCATAGTCGCTAGGGTGGGCCGCTCTCAAGCAAGCAGCGGCTATGGCGTCCACGTCAGCAGGCGTCAGCTTCATCAGCGGCAGCAATCGTCGCAGCGTGTGTGCCGTGCCCACGCGAACTACTGAAGCCCGCTCTCAAGATAGAAACCTATACCTACTATACAGCTGGATGACACAGTGGGACAGACCTGAGCGCGTAGTCGCTAGGGTGGGCCGCCCTCAAGCAAGCAGCGGCTATGGCGTCCACGTCAGCAGGCGTCAGCTTCATCAGCGGCAGCAATCGTCGCAGCGTGTGTGCCGCGCCCGCGCGAACTTACTGACGCTCGCTCGCTAGATAGAGACTTATACAACAAGACCGGGTCAAAAGTGGAACAAACCTGAGCGCATAGTCACTAGGGTGGGCCGCTCTCAAGCAAGCAGCGGCTATGGCGTCCACGTCAGCAGGCGTCAGCTTCATCAGCGGCAGCAATCGTCGCAGCGTGTGTGCCGCGCCCGCGCGAACTACTGATGCTCGCTAGATAGACACCTATACAACTGGATGACAGTGGGACTAACCTGAGCGCATAGTCGCTAGGGTGGGCCGCTCTCAAGCAAGCAGCGGCTATGGCATCCACGTCAGCAGGCGTCAGCTTCATCAGCGGCAGCAATCGTCGCAGCGTGTGCGCCGCGCCCGCGCGAACAACAGACGCGCGTTCGCTGGATAGAGAGGTTCGCGCTGCGCGTGATACTTCACGCAGGGAACTACCGGCAGCTGTGCCCATACCTACGCAGATCTGGGAAAGAAATAAAGGAACGACTGAAGTTTACCATACCAAGAAACCATTTGACCCATTAAGGGACTATCGACTTCTTTCTCCCTCAAGAAACACTCGCTTTAAGTCCAGCGACAAGACCTTCAGATACTAGGGTACCATTTAAGTTGTGAGCCTCGACAACATAACGTGTTGTTAGACGACATCTGATACTTTTAATGAAAAGTTTGACATTTTTGACTACAACCTTATTCAAAACTTTTTATCATTTGAGCACGTTTTGTATTATTAACATTGAATTGAAAATTATCTTGACTACAAAAACATGGAATTGACTTGCGGAAATTTTCGCGCAAAGATTTATTATGACTTTCGACGTGGTTAATCAATACAAAACTGAAGCGGTCAGCTAAATTTCACTTTTGGTGATAAAGATCTGTCCTTTACCATTGTAAAACACTAGTTTAAGAAGTATAATATTGTATGTCATTGGCTCACCAATGAACTTTGCGAAAGTCGTCCAAAATGATTAATAGTGGCGGAAAACATTGGTGTTGTCAGAAAAATGGAAGAGAAACCTCGTCATATGATGTATCGTAGGATTGAGATAATCCTAGGCATTAATTCCACTAGCAGTAATAAAATATTGTATGACCATATTATGGTTAATACGTTTTTTTCTCGCTGGATGTCACAAAATTTTTCAAACGCTCAATAGGACGCTGGTGTCGTTTAGTCCTTGGAAATGTTTGATAAATACGTTTAACAAGCTTTAAAAGCCGTTTTTAAAAATGTGACAGTTGACGAATTAAGGATCTATGCATAATGATCCTGAAAATAAACAGCTATCGACTATGGAGGTGTTTTAAGATGAAGCAATACCAACAAAAGTCCCATGCGCTCGGAACACTTTAAAACTTACGGTCGCCTATTTTTCCGAAATATCCGATTATATGACAGAAACGTCACTAGAGAAATTTATAATGGTTAATTCTTAATAGTAAACAGCCACTTTTTTTCCAAAAGTCTTCAGTTTAATAAGGGAAACTGACCAGCATAGCCGAATCGCCATTCGTGTCGAAAATGTGAGCTTTTACACGTCTCGTCAAACAACTGACTATTTGAACACTCAAAATATGAAATAAACAGGTCCAACGCTACAAAATTCTTGCTTGGAATCTAAACACTTCTTTTGGTACCCATATATTAAAATTAAATGCGTGAACAGCGATTTATGTAGCCAGAAGCAACTGTCGGTGCGGTCAAAAACCATGCTTTGGAGGTGCCTCAAGCTGAGTGGAAAAAATGCTATGAAAAGTGTTTCGGACACATTAAAAATTACATAAATCATGAAAGACAATACCAATAAACGCAATCAATACCATTTTAATAATAAACTACTTAGTTTTCATAGTTAGGCTCACAACTTAAATAGTGTCCCACGTAATACCATGAGATTTCATAGACATAGTTCAATCAGAATGCGTAAACACGGATTCATTCCAGTTCGATTTTACTTTTCCGCATATTGCCTACTTTACCCTGAAAAAAATACGGGACCAACAGTAAATCGACGCCCTAAATTTCCCATAGTAACATAAATATGTTACTATGGGAAATTTAGGTTTGCAAAGGGACCGTCACGCTCCATAAACGGTAAAGGGCACCTTACAAACATGGGCCAATGTCAACAGAATGTCAGCGAAATGTCGCTAAGTCGCTAAAGAACGGCATTTAATGGGGTCAAACAACATAACACTCTGTTCTGAAGGTTTATTTTACGTTTTATCTTTGCTTGAAAGATAACGCCTATACATTAACATTGGCATGGAGACAACACCAGCCTGTGAGTAATCGCATATTTACTAAACACCTTCCTTGTGGAGAGGAAAAACGAGAAACAACTACAAGTAAAGAAAACATTGTATTTGTCTGGGAATATCTGTAGGTATAATATGACAATGACGAGTCACGATTGTATTTCAGTGTTATACAAAAGAAGTATTCTTTACAGAAAGGCTATAAGCATTACGCAAGAAAGTGAATGTAATTTAGTTTACGTATAACTTTTACGTAAAAATAATGCTTATTGAAATCAAAAATATATTTATTTAGTGGGCAATGCTCACCAAATGGTGGTTTATTGATAAGAATCTGTATTTTCAAAATTAGTGTTTGAATTTAAATTAATTGGTTTGTAAGTTCTGTAATTAAATAGTTTTTAACTATAGACCTACAAAAAGAAGATAGGTTTAGTTTACCTTTTCAAGAGTATTCATGATCTCCAGCCTGGTTTGGGACTCGGCGCTCTTCAAAGATCGGATCAACGTGGCCACGGTCTCTTCATAGGACCGCCCCATCATGCGCCCGAGTTTCTCGTACATACTGCCGAGGCAGCAGATGGCGGCCCTGGAAAAATACCTCATTGTTATAGATCGTTTCATCCACGAAGACGCGCCCCACCAATTTTTGGTCAAGAGAAGCGCGGGGTGCGGGGAGTTTGATCCGAGCAATCCGAGCGTATTATTGTAGTGTGCGTGAGCACTCATGGATAATTTAACGTGCACCGATAACACTCAAACATTAGCGGAAGAATGGTGGGGCGCGTCTTCGTAGATGAAATGATTATGCAGGTACTGCATCAAAAGACCATGCAAACTGAAAATTGATTATTCATAGGACCATTTTACGACGGCAATAATTGAAATAGATTCGGTTTTACAACAAAAATGGATCATTGTGCTGTCGACTGTCCACGATACTCACAATCTCGTCGGCAAGTACGAAGGCGAGTCATCCTTCACTTTGATGATGTCATTGCACTTGTTGACAGTGTCAAACAGCAGGAACGTGTCGCCGACTGAGAACAGCGTTGCCAAGCATCGGGCGAGTAGACGACGAGCCGGAGCGCCGAGCGACTCGCGAAGTAGGTTTAGGAGTTGCGCGACTAACTTCTGCTGGCAGCTTTTTATGTCCGACTGTGGATATTATTTTATTTAATTACAGTTGCGTTCCTTATAAATGGAAAATAAGGAGAGCTATAAGTAGATGAAATTTTAATGATGATTGATTAAGTTAAATGAATGAACAGAGAACAGCGTTGCCAGACATCGGGCTAGTAGAAGTCGAGCCGGGGCGCCTAGCGACTCGCGAAGTAGGTTTAGGAGTTGCGCGACTAACTTCTGCTGGCAGCTTTTTATGTCCGACTGTGGAAATTATTTAATTACAGTTGCGTTCCTTAGAAATGGAAAAGAAGGAGAGCTATAAGAAGATAAAATGATGATTGATTAAGTTAAATGAATGAACAGAGAGAGAACATCGTTGCCAGACATTGGGCTAGTAGCCGCCGCGCTGGTGCTCCGAGCGATTCGCGAAGTAGGTTTAGGAGTTGCGCGACTAACTTCTGCTGGCAGCTTTTTATATCCGACTGGGGGAGATTACATGGATAGTTATTATATTTTATTAGAATAGTTTTGGGTGCTGCTTAGAAGTGTAAGTGAAATTACTAGTCTAATTCAAGAAAGAGAACTAATTATACAGAGAATGGACGGAGAACAGCGTTGCCAGACATCAGGCTAGTAGCCTACGAGCTGGAGCGCCTTGCGAAGTAGGTTTAGGAGTTGCGCGACTAACTTCTGCTGGAAGCTTTTTATGTCCGACTGGGGTTATTCTAATATTTAATTACGTGAATAGTTTTGGGTGCTATTTAGAAGTGGGAAAGCAAGTCTAGTGCTAAGACATGGAAGGTTGTATTTTATATAAAATAAAAGTTACTAGAAGCTTTTAAGATACCTAATTACAAACAAAAGAAATTCATTCTTTCAAATAGGAAAAGCATTAAAATATAAATGTAAAATATTTTATCTAAACAATTGTTCAAAAACATAAATGTTTATTCTTTCTGTTAAGGACATACACTAATCATTTATTTGTATCAGTGCTGTAAAAGCACCTAAAATATTTAACAAAACAAACAACTATTATTTCTAAAACAACAATAGATCTTACACTATCCTTACCTTATGAGCAGCCACTAGGACTTTGTCCAAAAAACGGAGCCATTCAAATATGAAATGGGGCTTCTTATCATCCGGCAGCTGCTGCAACGCGGCCTCATTCAACGTGAGGGAGTGGGACACCTCCATGGTTCTACAATAGAAGTATCTGGTCAACGCTCTACTAAATTTTGTATAAAGAGGTTCCATCAGCTACACTTTCATTACAGACAATAAGTATTCTAGTTTTGCATAACACTTCCAATATATTGTACATAATAGTACATGTAGATGTACTTTCAAAGTGTTCGTACATCGATAATGTGAGGTAATCAAGTTTGATGTAGTTGAATAACCAACGGCAATGAGGCAGAACACAGGAAACTTACAAGGCCTATCAGAAAATTGATTAATTGTCTGTTAACTTGGAAAGACAACTAACAATACAAAAATAATAATAACATTTTGCAATCACAAAGAAAAACAGGAATTTGTTCCTCTATGTTAGCCTAACTAGAGATTTTATTCAAGGATGTTGGTCTAGTCATCCAATAACGCGCAAAGAGAATTAACGACTGTACCCGACGATGTACAAACAGCAAATGGGAGCAGTCGGGACGTAATGATTAACCGTGTGTTTATATTATCAATGGCGTCAACATTTAGTGAATCAGACCCACGGATCATGTAACGGAAGAAGTTATGAATAATACACAGCAGAAATAATTAAACTACAAATTAAACCGCACTTTCGTACTCGAAACTTAAAACCAAAAGTAAAGGGATATTATGTACAAACCCAACTGGATGATCAACAACAGTTTATTACACTTTCTCACTACATTCACATAATACACACAGTTCCTGAAGTTTATAACCACGTATTTGAAAGTATATTTGGTTTTAAAAACAGTTTCTTTCTATTTTTTTAGGTAAGAACCAGAAAAAATAATTAAATCACACCACAAAAATGTAGGTATTTCAGGGGTGAGGAACAGATGAGCGAGGGGGAGGGGAAGGATCAAATGTCAATTCACTGTCAAAAACACTGACGTTTCGAGCTTGGAAATTTATCTTTTAAGCCATAAAAGCAAAAGATAAGCTCAAACTTCCAATATCCATACCAGTAAAGTGTCCCAATTCTAGAAAAAGAAAATTTTACCTTCCTGTCAGCGAGCCATTTTAGCGCTACTGTCATCCATGTGTCAATATTTCGGCCGTACAACAACCGACGCCTGGAAAATTGAGAAAAAAGGAAATTAATTCACATACCTAGCTAGTCAAAGTAATGTAATTTCAGTAATTTAAGTTTGATGAGAATACTACATGGATCAAAACATTAATTAGTACAGGACTGTGGTCACATTGACTACAATGATTTGACGCGTAACCAACGTGCATTATAGCAATAGTAAGTACAGTGCCAATACTCTGAACACGCCTGACCAATGAATAACATGAGTGCGCAGCAGAGCCCCGCAAATATGCAGGCAGTTGTGGATAGAGAAAAGATATATTCGTGGATATTGGAGCTATGCAATCCAGAGACACGGGAAAATGCTTTACTAGAACTTAGCAAGAAACGTGAGGTAGTTCCAGATTTGGCTCCAATGCTATGGCACAGTTTCGGTACTATAGCCGCGTTGTTGCAGGAGATCACCAACATATACGTGGCCATGATACCGCCGACCCTCACCGCTCACCAAAGCAACCGTGTATGCAATGCCCTGGCACTGATGCAATGCGTCGCTTCCCATCCCGAAACGCGATCTGCATTCCTCCAAGCACACGTCCCTTTATTTCTATATCCTTTTCTCCACACTGTCTCCAAAACACGTCCTTTCGAATACCTAAGATTGACCAGCCTGGGAGTTATCGGTGCTTTAGTAAAAACTGATGAACAGGAAGTTATCACATTTCTGTTGACTACTGAGATAATACCGTTGTGCCTGCGTATAATGGAAAATGGATCTGAATTGTCCAAGACCGTTGCCACATTTATTTTACAGAAGATTTTGTTGGATGACAGTGGATTATGTTATATTTGCCAGACGTACGACAGATTCTCGCATGTAGCAATGATATTAGGAAAAATGGTGCTGTCACTTGCGAAGGATCCGTCCGCACGACTGCTGAAGCATGTGGTCCGCTGTTACTTGCGTCTGTCGGACAACCCTCGGGCTCGGGCTGCACTCAGGCAGTGTCTTCCAGATCAGCTGCGTGATGCTACCTTTACTGAATGTCTCCAAGAAGACAACTCCACTAAGCACTGGCTGGCACACCTGATCAAAAACCTGGAAGCCCAACCTCCCCCGGCTAGCCCTGCCCAACAGAACATGTGAGAGTTAATTTTATTTGAGCCCACTTTGAGCAATATACAATAAGTAGTAAATTTGTTTTTCTATACATATTTCTATTGAGAGTTTGATGTTTTATTTTTTGAAATAGTTAATAGTAACAAGACTGGTTACAAAGTTTTCACATTTGAAGTTTATAGCAATAATAATTGAGATTATTATAAATTAAAAATCTAAGGTAGTTATATTTTATGTGCAGCTATAGCTCTGTTTATTGTAGAGAATATATTTATCTGCACAGATATTTTGAAGAGAAGTAATGTTAAGTTAGTTGAGAACAAAATGAAGTTCAAACAATGTGATCTCTGGTTGTTTTTAGTTGCTTTTTATACTACTTGTTGTACTGGATTCATAGTGGGCATTTTGTGTGATGTGCTTAGTTTATTTTGTATTTTTCATAACATATCAACTGATTATTTTTTTTTTTGCTAATGTATTAAATTAATTGTATTCACATGTTAATATGTTAATGGTCTCATGTTATATGCATTGTATTATTTTTTAGGTACACAACAAGATGAAAGCACTAATTTTGTATGCAGATGTAGTGGACTGGACTAGGAATAAAGTTTTTTCATAATTTGGCAATGTTGTTTCTTTCCTTTCATATCCTAAAAATAGTATGTAACACATACTGGTTATCTACTTCATCAATCAACGAAACCATAGCAAGTTATTGCAAGTGGAGCATTTAATGGATTGCTATAAATAACTATTTTAACAAGGAATTTTAAAAATCAGGTCCTCTTGCAGGGAACTGTGACAGAGCCCATCTTCTAGCACCCATGAAATTGTAGTTTATTTTTGATTTACTGCAAATGATGTCATTCCTACTTTTCTCATTTTCTTTACTACCTTCATTTGTCTGAGTGTCTATTTCATTACAGAGCTTTGCTTGGCTCCTCATGTTCAGAGGCAATGGTTTCCTGCTGCTAAGTCTCTCAAGAAATTGAGTGCCACAGTTAACAGTTTCGACGCACTGTGCGCACGCTTTGTCCAATTGGCAGTAATTTTTAGTGTCGAACGTTTGAATTTCCTTTGCACTCACTCGACAGTTGATTCGTTTATTGCCACATTTGCAGTTGCCTTTGTTGTCCCTCTTCCGGACCATAGTCACGCAATCATTGTCGCATCGCAGGGGCCCTGTGATGATTGTATTCTGTGCACTATCAACAAACGTCTTCTTCAGGAGAGTCTCTTTGGACTTAAATTTATTTATAACTATTTTACTTTTGCTGCAACTGCTACTTGGTACTACTTTATTTACTACCCTCTTTTTCTCTACGACTATAGACCTCGTAGGGCGCCCGTCGTACCTGCTATTTGAAGCCTGAGCTTGGTTTAGTTTTTTACAGCTTTCTCGAGTGCTGTGTTTGGAGTGTTTCAGCGGCGATTCCTCACAGATTTCATCACACAGCTTCTGTGCTATAGAGGACATAGTTTGTGCCAACTTATTGATAATTTTTACATACTAGTTGCATAGCAGTGCAGTCCGAACTCTAGATCTATTTTGAATTTATCAACAGCATTATTTTTTCTGGATAAAAGACCCCATTTTTATTGGTAAGATAATGTTGGATTTCTTGCTAAATATTGTAGTAACATTGTTGAAAGCGAGCATTACCTACATATAAATTAAATTACCATAATCTTACTTTATTCATGAATGTAGAAACGAAAATATTTGACATTTAAAAAAAATAACGGAAGGAAGGAAGTGACAAGTGACCCCTCACAGAAGTCACAGCACAGATTAAATCATTAAAGAGTGGCCCCCGATGGCCCCCCTCCAGTCAAGGCGCTTTTACACTGCGCGGAAATTAGTCAAGTCAAGAAAATGCAGTGGACTCGCCTAATTTCCGCGCAGTGTAAATGAGCCATCACATTTTGGCACAGGCCCGTATTCACAAACGCTTATGCTTAAGTGAAGCAGCAAATCGAACGCACAGCATTGAATAGAGCTCTGTGATTGGTTCGTGTGTGGCCCTATGCGTCCACGAGCCCTGTGAGACCTCATAATGTTTGTGAATAAGGGTGACCAGGGCGAGGGAATGCCGTTTAAGGCCGGTTTCCACCGAGGCGGAGAGGAGTGGAGAAATGTTCCGCTCCGCTCCTCCTAGGTGGGAACCGGATCTAACGCTATGGTGCCCAATTTTTGTGATTGTTTTTTGGTTTACTTAAGAGCCTTGAATTAATCATTATCATAATCTCATTCTCTGATTCTCTTTCCTCAAGATTCCTCATTGCACCACAGTCTGGTACAGCAGCGTCAAATAGTTCGTGACAACCAAAGTGACCAAAAAGTGGACAACACAAGTAATCTTAACTACCTACATAATATTCCAATATTTTATTGTAATTTGTAACAAAGACGTGTTGCGAACTTTTTGACTACTTTGGGTGTCACTATTTGACGCTGACTGTACCTATATAGTACTATAAGCACAGAATACTATTTATAAGCCTAGGTGCATCGATTTTTCGTCGGCCGATAGTTTAGTCGGACAGTAAGTATGGAGATGTATGAGAGTGCGCACATTACACCGAATCGGCCGATTCTTCATACAAATTAAAACTGGGCCCAACTGAAAGTCGGTGGTCTGCGCCTAGGCTTAATCTGTGTGATTTGAATTCGGCAAAAAAGAGTTTTAAACAGTGGACTTTCTCCAGCAGTAGACGTCATTAGGCGAACACGAACGAAGAGTTTTAAGTCCCTAACTGCAATCTTTAAATAGTATTGTACGTACCTACTTAATTAACACAAAAAAGCAAATTGTTATGTTTAAATTGTACAAGTTCATGCTGTTTTTTTTTATATCGTATGCTGTCTCCATATAAAACTGCTACTCGAAGACAAAATTAAATGATACGATGGCTATCGATGGTAACAAAGATAATAAAATAGAACAAGGNCGTTACAGTAACCGAAATGTCCTTCTGAACTCATTAATCTCTCTCCATATTCCGTTCCCAACCTCTATAGTATGTCTACTATACTTAAACTGTATAAATGTATATAAATGTATTATTTCATACTTAAATTTCAATAGTATTAAGATATAAACCTGTTGTTCTTGTATTTAATATTTTAGTCGTTATGTATTTAGTACTAGTAGTAGTTACCTATATCCTATGTCCTCTCCTGATCCTAATTTCCTAAATTTAAATCCGTTGCCGTAAATATTTTAATCTCCCCGTTTCCCCGTTTTACTCGACTCTGGCACGGCGCATACTGCGCGGATTGCCTTAAAAAAAAAAAAAAAAAAAAAAAAATAGAACAATCCGCAATGTTACCTACCTGTATAAAAAAAAACTGAAATTTACTGTCAAAATCATATGATCAGCGAGAAAAGTTCAAAACAAACATTGAGGAAAAATTGTTAAACATGTATTAATAAACAAATCAAATGACTTGAAATGCTAAAGGAACAACAATGTGGATCTTCGGCTACGGATCTCTAGTTTGGAAAGTTGACTTTGCTTACGAGTGCAAAGTTGTAGGTTATATTTCAGGTTACCTCAGAAGATTTTATCAGCATAGTATCGACCACAGAGGCGTTCCTGAGAAAGTAAGTATATCCTAATATGTACTGACTCACCATAATCATAACCAGAAGTAGATAATATACAGTCTGTTACATTATTACAGATGTATTAGTATTGTAACGTAATCTTTTCAATACATACTTTGTGCATTCTCCTTCCAGCCTGGTCGAGTAGTTACATTGATAAAAAGTGACGATCCAAACAGCAAAGTATGGGGGGTGGCATACAAAATCCGTACCGAAGATATAGATCAAGTTACGAAGCACTTGGACTACAGAGAAAAGAATGGATATTCGAAGAAGACAGTTACATTCCATCCCAAGGATAAGAGCATAGAACCGTTTAGTTTGACCCTGTACATAGCAACAGAGGAGAATGAATCTTATGCAGGTCAGTATTTGGTTTAATTTTGATAATTGGTATCTAATTGCACAAAGCTAAGCAACAATTAACTTGTATACTTTTTTAGTTTTTTATGATCCATTGGGTCACCTTCAAGTCTTTACTTGATGAAAAAACAATTATAATAATATTCATTCAAAAATACTATAAAAAGTTATTGTACCTAATTTGATTCTTCATAATTCTAGTTTTCTTACTTGGTTTCATCTTTTTTTAAATTAATTTCTCGACATAAAATTTTCCTCAAAAAAAAAATGTCACAGGAGTACATACAAAAATTGTTCATTTGAAGTTCTCTTCCTTTAACATAATTAATTAATTTGATAAAAAAATAACAAAAAAGTAGCAGTAGAATCTAAAAAACTGTACCTTTGTTCCAAATTTTGTACCAAATTACCAGTCATCCATTTAGACCATTTACATGTATTTTGACTACATATGAATGATTTTTAAATAAATACTTATTCAATATTGCAGGAGCAGCATCAGTGGAAGACATAGCAAAACAAGTAGTCAACTGCCAAGGGCCAAGTGGGCCCAACAAGGAATATGTATACAACTTGGCTAAAGCAATGCGACAGCTAGCACCTGATGTATACGATGAACACCTCTTCGCTCTGGAAACTTCTTTGCGTCAAATTGATCCAGATGTTAAACGAAATTGATGAAATAAGTAGATAGCTTAATTTTATGCAATAGGGTCCAAAATGGCAAATTAGTAAGATTTTTACTTGAACTTTTACTTGTACAGATGTCAGCACATCTGTCTATACATTTTTATGGCAAAAGCGCACCTATAACAATGGCATAAGATGCTACAGTTTATAAGTTGAGCTACTTCTAGTGGCGCCATCTGCCACGACATTGGCGACTTCAAAACTTTTTGATAAATCGTTTTATCACTGCGTGGCGCCCTGCGCGCTTCAGCGGGACAGTCCATCCCCAAAAAAAAAAAATACGAGAGAGAAACTGACTGTCTGTTTGTTTGTTAAAAAAAAAAATACGACGAATTGCTTTTAAAAATTTACTGTTGCTAAAATTTAGACAAACTTCTAAGCACCAGACAATTTGGATGATATAAATAAATAAGAGAGTCATCCATGCGCGTCATGCTAGCAGTATTATTTAAAAAGAAGGCCATCCTGCTTAATAATGCATAAGTAAATTAGCAGATATTTAATATTAATAAAGCAACAGCTTTACACAAATAGACTGATGGCATTCGGAACAAAACATGTTTTGTTTAATGCAAAACTAAACAAACATACAATAAATTCCTTGTAGATATAACATATTTTTAGTTCAAGCATATGACTAAGCTCCTATCTGAATGTCAACCGTAAGTAGGCAACATGTTTGTTTGCAGACACACTAACCTACTTGCGCCCATTTAAATGTTGCGAATTATTGATTAAAATTGTAAATTGTATTGACGTCAATGACCCCTACCTACTTGTATAAAATCTCTATAATACAAGCTGCAACGCCTGCAACTATGCTCTTTGTCTTTTTTGACCTTGGCCTTCTAAATCGCGCATTTTTAGGTGAAACTCGCCTAATCCATTAAACGTTAATTGATTTAAATAAACAGTGTTTTTTGTTAGTTGTCTGGGTCACAATGCCTAATCGTAATCAAGAAATGCGGGTAGGAGGCCGAATTTTTACCCATCCGGGGCGTAAAGAACAACGCCTGTGTAGGTCGGGCAGACATTTGACTTGATATAATAGACAAATCAATCTGTTTTGGACCGTAATATAAGTGTGATAAAGATAATTTTGTGTTAGAAAATAGATTGCTGATGTACAGCAGCGTCATATAGTTCGTGGCACCCAAATTGGCCAAAAAATTTACAACACAAACCTTATTCCAACTCAAACAAAGTCGTGTTGCGAACCTTTTGGTTATTTTGGATCACAAACTATTTTACGTTGCTGTACTGCTTTAGTTTTCAGAACTGTGTTACCCTTTTTCTACAGGATTGTCATTGTATTTTACAAAATTGTTGCTTATGGAAAAACTCACTACAATGTTATAATTTGAACCAAGTTCCTTAGGTGGAATTTGCTAAATACTGTGAAGGCTGCAGCCTTCACCTATCAAGTCAGTATTGTTATCTACATTCGATTATGTAGCTATGATTCAATCAAGTGTGCATTTTTTGGACTTTATTGCATTAGATATACGATTTTCGTAATTTTTTCTTTTCTAAATTATCACTGTCAATCATCCAGTGGTTGTACAGTGGACAGCATATCAGACTCTTGATTTTTGTTGTAAAATCGTCTGTATTAGCTTTATTTGTTTATGTACACTGACTGTACAACTTAAAATCAAATTCGGTACTAAGTAACTACAGAAGTATTTTTTACGATATAAGTAGACTGTGTGGCGAATGTATACCTTGTTATGTTAGGGAAGACCGCAAATATGTATTGACCTCAATGTTAAATTGATTAAAATTTTTACTGAATTACCTACTTATAAATGCTTATCGAATCTTTTTACATTTTTGTGGTTCCTGATAGGAACTTCCTATCGCTGACATTTGAAAATATGTGCTTTTTCTATTGTGATATTAGCTTTACGTATAATAGTTACCAAAAATCGGGTAAAATTATTAATTACGTTTTTGTTCCAATGAAAGAAACTGTTTTAAAAATAAATAAAATATTTTATTGCACAAAAGGTAACATCGTGTATCATTGTTATTCCGAAATCATTAAGCAGTATGTGTAACGTTTAATAATACTAGAGGATGTAACGAACATTAATAATAACTTAACAATATCACGAGGAAATTGAATTCAGTGCCGCAATGAAGGAAAATATTAACGGTTTCTGAACATATTATAAGTACATTTATATCGTATTTATTTTATAGCATTTTATCTACGTTACTGAACTCAACTCAGTGCTTAGAATTTGGCAGATAGGGAGTGTCACATGGCACTTACTTTTATCAGTATAGATAACCCCGCCATTGCATTTAGATAAAAAACATAGGAAGTCTGCTATTAATTATTATTTTATAAATAAAAATTTATCAAAAATACTACAATTTCTTACAGAGACTAATCTAGTTTCATGTATCAAAAGATTAAAAACACTGACGTCATGTTTTTTACAACCTTGATAAATTATCTTTGGCAGGTTTGCACTTGTGCAGTAACTATGCAATTAATGCACCATCACTTCACCCGAGAACTTATTTGTCTTTCTTCCTGCCGAGTAGTTTGTCCAGGAAACTTCGCTTCCTCTTAACTTTTTTAACATTCTTACCGTCACTCTCTAGCTTCTCTCCTTCTACTGTCATTTTGTTAATCAACTCTGGAATGCTTATGTCAGGTTGCTCTACTAAAGGCTTTTTATGGTTAGTCGACTCTCTACTCAACTGCCTCTGCATGACAGACAGTTCTGGCACGCGATCATTCTTCTCTGCTAGTTCTGTGAGAGATACTTTAGAATCTCTCTCTTTGACATGGTTAGGTTCAACCTCTTTCACAGCTGGGCTCTCTGACCCATTTTGAATCACCTCCACATGTGGCTTTATGTGTTCCTGCTTGATTTCTTCCTTTTTACCCTCCTCTTCTTTTTTCGCCTCCGCAATATTTTCTTTCTTCTCAAACACATCATCATCAGCAGGTTTATTTTCTTCACTCTTTTCAGCCTTATTAACCGTGTCCTCAACACTCGACGTAGATTTAGGGACCGAATCGACTACTCTAGGTTTGGTAGGAGGCAAGGTCCAGTCGATAGGTTTGCGCTGCGGCGAATACCGTTTCACTAGCTGTTCAAAAAGCTTCTGATGGTCCACTTTAGTAGGTGAATCCGTAAGACTCTGGTGTTTAGGTCTAATTTCGGGGTCTTGGTTTTCTTTGCCGTCAGTTTCACTGGGCCCTAAGTCGACTACAACCCGGCGCACTGGCGGTGGTGTCGCGTAAGGCTCCGCGAAGGGAAACTTGTACAAATTGGGGCTCTCAATTTTGTACTTCATCGCGGAAACTTTGCCGGTGGGGAGAGACGCGCGTGTGCCGGCTCTGGAGAACTGTTTATCGTCAGGTTCGTGAAGGTTCGACGTGAGGAAGTCCCTTCGCAGTTTGGACAGGCGGCGCGTGCGGTCCATCATGCTGTGTCTGTAGTCCACATCGTCGCTCTGGTTGAGTTCCGAAGTGAAGTTGTCGGAGTACTTCCTGGGTCGGAAGTCGAAGACCCGCTCGTCGGTCTTGGACTCGCGCATGCTGGAGTAGCCGGCCGTGTTGCGCTTGAAATTGGTGGTGGTTTTCCCGTGGTTGGACGTGACGATGGGCTCGGCGTCCCGATACACAGGCGTCATCGCAGTGGGTGAAGGCAGCGGGAGGAACACCGTGTCGTGCTTGTCGAACACCTCCCGCCTCTGACTGAACGCGTCGACTCCGATTATTTCGCGCGACTTCACACTCGTCGTCGGCGATTTCGTGCCCATTTCCGTTCGATTACAAACCGCAACACTTTTGTTATTAATACTATTTTCCTGTAAACTGTGTATTTCTATTTTTGTAACGCACACATTATGACTTCACCGGTAACATCGCGAGTATAAAAGAGTACACGTCTGCAAGTTAAATTGGACAATAAAGGTTGGTCGTCCGTAAAAGGCGAGCGGTTCGCGATATATGGTGGGTGATCAATAGAGTGGCAGTGATAAGATACGGCGCGGTCGCGTAGTGCTTCGACTGTCTTTATCTTTGGGCCGAATCGAAGCAGTTGAGTAAATAACTGAGCTACAGAACGGCGCGGTGGCCGCGGCGCGAGTGAAAGCCGCGCGGCGCCGATCGGCTCATTACATAATGAATATTAAAACAAACGTCCCAAATACACTGTTTTAGTTCACACCTCATCGCTAATCGACGCTTTTTACTTATTTAAATGTTTTGTTTTTGTACGTAAACTGCAGTTTAAACTGTCTTTATAACTTTGATATTGAATAGATAGAACTGTGTTATAGCGGTCCGTGTCAATTAGTTTCAAACCGCGCGAATCACAGTTACTTTATAATAAGTTATGATGAACATAATCATCCACTCGCACTTGGTGTAGTTATGCAAGTAGGATTATTATAAAGTTAGGCCACTAGGCGTACGCGCACTATACCTAAACAAAAGTAGCTACAGTCAACAATAAAAGTTAATGAAGTTCCTCCTTCATTATTTTTCCCGGTTGTAAACTACTCTTATTAATTTGATCTCATAAATGACGTAACGTAATTACCGACTAATTAACAAAATAATTACAAAAAGTAAAAGTAAATCATACAAGGAATCAATTTAAGTAAAATGACCATTTTTGCTTATAACCTTTGTATTTTATTGTAGGTACGTAGTACCTTACTAGCCATAAGTAGATGCCTTTTTCCTCAATAGTTAATAATGTTATTAGATACTAGGTAATGGTGTGGTTCTTAATCTAACACGAGGTATTAATATTGTTTGTTTTCCTACACATTANAAAATATACTTACATTTTCATATTTAAAATCATTACTATCCCTTCAAGTACCTACCAACGAAACGAGACTACGGTTCCTCCACCATGCGACAGCTTTGGGTTCCACGGACTATTCATTCATTCATTTAGGTATTAAGATACCGTAATTTATGTATTAAGCTAGAGATTTTAGTTGGCCGATAGTTGGATCGGCGGGCTGTTAATCAGTATGGAGATGTATGAAAGTGCGCACATTACACCGATTTGGTATCGGCCGATTCTTTATACAAATTAGAATCGGACCCAACTATCGACCGACAAAAAGTACAAGTAAATAGAGTGGTAGTGGTACCACAGGTGGCCAAAACAGTGAGGTCTAAAGGTTCGGTCAAACCAACGCGATCACACGTGATCAGCCGGCGTGCAGCGATGGCGATCAATGCATTTAAGTCTGGTCGCCATCGCTGCACGCCGGTTGATCGCGTGTGATCGCGTTGGTTTGGCCGAACCTTAAAAGAAAAAGGACATCATCCATTTTGGTCCAAAATCAAAAGTGCCGGCCAAAAAATAAAAGTGCTGTATTCTGATAGAATACGTCCGCCTTAGCATTTATTACTATGGCACTAAAGCTGTAGCACCACTGTGCATCGTAGTATTTGAGTTCTAAAAATATATGAAAAGACTGACTTTGATCTCAAATACTACGCCGTGCCGCTTTTTTGCTCGACTTGGTGGGGGCACTGCCGTGCCCCCAGATTAAAGTGGTACCGACTGACATATTAAATACTAGATTTCCGCCCGCGGCTTCGCCCGCGTGGAATTTTGTCTTTCACAGAAAAATCACGCGCGTTCCAGTTTCAAAAACGGGATAAAAACTATCCTATGTCCTTTCCCGGGACTCAAACTATCTCTATGCCAAAGGACATCATCCACGTTTCATATATTTTTGGTCCAAAATCAAAAGTGCCGGCCAACAAAAAAAAGTGCTGTATTCTGACAGAATACGTCTGCCTTAGCATTTGTTACTATGGCACCAAAGCAATATAAAAGAAAATCACAACAAGGTTCTTGGAGTGAAGCTGCAATACTTCAGCTCAAAAGCTTCAAAATACTAAAAGATAATGAATCAAGACTGCATTATTCAAAGAGAGTTCCTTCTGATTAGTTTTATGTTTTAATTTTTATGTTGTTTGATGAATTTTTATGTCTAGAATCTATTTTATCGCAATACAGAAAGTATGATTCTCATTCTGTGTTTGAATAGAGACATTCCTTATTATTCAAAGGTCAAAATTATATAGTAAAAATAAAAAGAAAACTATTGCCCTCTGCATGCCCGTTTTGCCCGTGTGCCGGTGCTCGCTTTAGGCCACCCCCTCGGCCAACGTCGACTCACCCGGTGGGCTGGTACCGCGCCGAGGGCGGGACAGTGGTGCCAGGTAGAAGCCCAGGCAGTCCGTCGCCAAGCGACGTCAAACCACCGACTGGCAGTAGCCAGTCGAGATGCTGCACGGGCCATGAGCACAAGCTCGACGCCCGAACCGGCCAAGAAGGTCGAAGACATGTGACTGACCTCGGGCAAAGTGAGCAAGTGATAGTGTTTCGTATTTGAGTGCCTACTTTTTATATATTAGACAAATGAATGATTTGAAATCGCCATGTCAAACTACAATAAATGTAGTAACTGATCACGATAAAAACTTATTCCGTTTTGCTTATTCTGTGTGTTTTTTTCCTACTTTACCTTAAGGTGCCCGCTTTGGGCCAGTCTCCCCTAGTACGGGAAGAGCGCTTAACTAGCTTACGTGAGTCATTCTATTATTTTGCACTAACTTAACTAATTGATTAAGTATAATTAGTTATGCTTTAACATCTTTTGCCGGATTTCTCTTTGTTTTTCGTCCATTTTTCAAACTATAAATAAGTAGGTACTGCTAAGTTTTAATGTTCATCATAGAATTTGTCCCGTTAAAATTGAATTGAATTAAATTTTGTGCTATGCTGATTGCTGACTGTACCCACAATCCTTTTACGAAAAAACATTACATTCTATGTTTGTCTGTATTATAATAAAACAAGCAGCACGGTTTACCCAACCTTAATCTTGGAAGCGGTCTCTTCCAGTCAACCTTTATGTAAAAAACAATAGGAAGATGATTGAGTGAGTAGAACGGAATTAGCGGATTTAACCACAGTGAATGAGTCCAAAAGACACGAAAATTACATTCTTAAGACTTGACAAAAACTTAACCATGGCCAAACTCCAAATATGTATGCAAATGGGACATGAGATCATAGTCTGACGATTTTTAGCATATTAGTTACACCTACGTACAGTGAAAAGCACAATGGACTACATTTTTGTTGCAAAATGACACTTATTGCATCTGTATTAGATTCTAACATGTTTAGCTTGATTTGCTGTCTGTATAAGTCAAGCGATTCGCCTACGATGGTCCAAATTCTTTCTGACCACATAATCCACTTTCAAAACCATGTAGGTCATCGCTTGAAGGATTTTTGAGATGTTCTCAGACAAGCTATGATAAGTGACTCATCATACAGTTTGTGTTGTCATCATGACGACTAGGAATCGAACCTAAGATCCTACTACGTTCAAGGCGTTGCACCCGCGCCACTAGTGCATCGGTTTTTTTTTCATTCTTCTTTGGCTCTCGCGGTTTGCGTTTAGCCACGACGACACAGGGTTACAGATTAGGCAAAAGAGGGAAACGAATCAATTCATAAGAATTACAGAGTTTGTAGATGTATTATTGTTACTCTTTCATGCAAAAACTGCTAAATGGATTTCGATGGTTTTTTTAATCCACAACGAGGAAGCTCTTGGCCTGTATTTCACCTGATGTTAAGTGACAATCAGGCCGAAGATGGAAGCGAGCTTCTTGTTTATACATCAGATTAACCTATAGGCTGGATTTTGTTATGATCTGTGACAAACTGAATTCCACGTGAGCGAAGCCGTGGGTGAAAGCTAGTGTTTCATAAATATAATCGAATGAACCATAAATAAGATAGACTTCCTCACGTTACTACCTATCATCGGTTTCAATGTATTGTGCTGATAATAACAATAACATTATCATTACGAGTGGCCAACGCCCATCTACATCGTTTACAAGCAAGTGAAGAATATCCCCCTATCTTGAATCATCCCCACCAAACCATAACTGCCATATTATGGTTTGGTAGGTATACATACCTTCGCAGACTCGGGGAATCCCACACTATACTGCACCGTTTTTTTTTTTTTTTTTTTTTTTTATCCACAACGAGGAAGCTCTTGGCCTGTATCTCACCTGATGGTAAGTGACGATCAGGCCGAAGGTGGAAGCGAGCTTCACCCGGAATCCTCAACTACGGAGGAACTGGCTATCTTACCTCTAACTGCCGGAACACAATAATGCTGTTAACATTGTTGTTATGGCGACAGACTTAGGTAAGATGGTGGTAGCTAGCCAGGCGGACTTAGTATAAGCCCTACCACCAACCAAACCGAACAGAAAAATCTGCCCCCACTGGGAATCGAACCCGGGACCTCTGCGTCTGAAGCAGGTGGTCTTACCACTAGACCACAGAGGCGGTTTCCTCAGTCGATAAGACGCAAACGCTTTTTTTCTAAATGACTCCATTCCTTTTATCATTTTTATAAACCTACACTTTTCAACTCCATTACCAAAGCTGCTGCAATGCCTGTCTAAAGAATTTATTTATACAGAGATACCAAATATGTTGTTGCTATGAAATTTTTTATAACTTTTACAGTACTTATTATTATTCTGTGCTTTTACTAACATCATATTATATTTTTTAAATCAAGATTTAACTAAAACCTTCATAGGTGTCATCCCTTATTATATCTATAACTGTATTTTCTAACAAACAATTCTAGAAAGGTATTAAAATTAGTGTCATTTGCTCAAATCGTGTTACGGTCGTTGCATAAGCATTCTTATCTTTTATCACTCGATAATTACATACGCGAAACCCTATCTCGGTTTATCATTATCAAGCAATCGATAAGTTTGGTGGAATATTTAGTACAGAGCCCATGACACTATTAATGTTGGAATTAGGACTAATTTAGTTCAACGTAGATAAGTGACATATTTTTATATAAATATGACCAAAAGATCGTTTGATCAAAATCAGACGCAGTTCTGATGAAATTGATAAATGCAGAATTAATTGATTTCATATTATATTAATTAACAAAAGCTAACAGGAGTTGTTCAGTAGTTTATAGATTTTCATACCCGTAATTAATTCTTAACTGCTGACTATATTATACAAAAAAAATCCTCAGTGATTTATGTTAATGTCTCTCACTGCTATGTAATGCTCTTTATGTAAATTGCAAAAAAAAAAAACTGAAATTATCTTCTAAAAACAAAACACATTTTACCTCGAATACATATCACTTTATTGTGATGATAATTCAAATGCATACACGAACGATTAACATATTCTTAAAATACTTAAATACTAGAGAATGATCACGAAACAACTAATAAATAATGTCAACAATTTTAAAAATACACTATAAGCAAACGAAAAAAGCATAGAAACAAATCTGCATTTACGATTTCGTATTGGATTTCCAAAGAAAATGGAGTTATTAGTTGCGCAAATTATTTAGGCTACTGAACTGGGAAGTTCCTCTTGGAAATATTAGTTAGATGTTCACAAGCATAGGTACATAGAAGGTTGCTAGTGAATCAATGTGTGCTCTCCTCCAAAAAAGAAAGATTCATATCATTCATTCATCAGGAAATAGATTCAGTTCCATCTCCTGTTTTAGTTGATTTTTAAGGGACAATTATCTTTAACTGATGACATTTATAAGATTACTTAGAATCTTCTATGCTTCATTCGTTCACTGTTTCACAACGATTTATGATTTAGAGAGTATTTCTTTCATAGCTAGCTCAATTTTCAACTGTATACACGCGACTCTCTCCTGAAAGATCTGGTTGATAAGGTTCAGTCTTTTCTGTTCTAACAACGCGTTTTCCTTCATCAGTCTTTGTTTTAGCTCTAATTCCTCTGGCGTATTGTTTTCCTTGTTTTCTTTATTGCTCTGTTGGCTTTCTTGCTTGTTCTTTAACGCGACGTGGCTTCTCAGCTTTACGATTTCGAACTGCTCAGAATTTATTTTAGCTTGTAATAAGGATTTGAGTTGCAAATATTCGGCGTTTTCTAACTCGAGCCTGAGCACTCGGAGTTCTTTTTCCGTGAATTTGGGTTTTTCTTTCACGTCTGTTTCTTCTTTTTCTTTGACATCTGGTAGAGGGACAGTGAAGGCTGAATCGGTTTGCGTGGGAGTTGATTTTTCGTCGAACTTCGTAAAGTCGAAATTGTCTTCGAATTCGGCTTCAAATGTCGGGTCTTGGTTCGGAGATTCGTTTTGGAATGCGTCACTCGTCGACGGCGTCACCGGTTCGGGTTCCGGTACCGGGTCCGGTTGTGAGGAGGTCTGCGGTACCGGTTGTGGTACCGGTTGGGCAACCGGTTGGGAAGTGGGTTGCGAGTGCCGTCGAGCCGGCTCGTCGTCCTGTTTCTCATCGAGAGACGGTTGAGGCGGCAACGAGTTGGGTTCGGCCGATTTTTGGACGGACCTGAGTTTTCTCTGTAACAAATGTTTGATGGTAAGTAAAATTAAATTATATAACTGATTATATCAAGCCAGAACACTAGATATGCAAACGTAGTCAATATCCATAATTATAATTTATTTGCCAGTAATTCAATATTTTTCAATTCAATTTTTTTCCCTGTAAATCAATAACAGGCTTTATGTAACGAATCACGCATACGAGTTTGTGACTTATTGTCTTTCCGTTCGGTATATAACTAATGGGTTAGTTTTATTTGCTGCAATAATATTACAGTCGGTCAATTTATAATTGTATGAAAATCTATAGGCGATAACTTGCCGTATAAAAACGAGTTTCTCCCCCGTCATACTGACCTTTACATTTTGCTTTTCGATAAAAATATTAGTGGGGAGTTGGGAACTAATTTGTACCCTATTAATAAATCTCAAATTTTTCATGTATGTCCACATCTATTGATGATGATTGATGGATGTAAAATAACTCACAGCTGTTGGTCACGCGTAGGTTAATAAACCACATGAATTTGGTTGAGAAGCGACTCCTGCTAGTTATGACAGACCTAGTACGCAATATTAACTCTTATGATTAAGCTTATTTAGGTGTATTATACCTTAAGTTGCGTGACGAGCCTCTGCCCTTCCCATAGTTGTTGATCTCGGGCAGGGGTGATAAACCCTGCGTGCATTTCCGCATGGATTTGGTTGAGAAGCGATTCTTGCTTTCGAAGCTCCGCAGCAATGTCCTGCGCACATTCTGAGAAGTCTGCCGGGATTGTTTGGAGAGGGGGCACGTATCTGAAAAGAATAGATAGAATATTGTCACTCAAGACAAAAAAAAGAAATAATAATAATAATAAATATCCTTGGACATTTTAGACTGCGCTTCTAGTCCCAAACTAAGCAAAGCTTGTACTATAGGTACTAGACAACGGATATAAACACACTTACACCCGTATTCACAAACGATACTTAACNGGAGAGATACGAAGTATAATAGTTTGAAAATCAGCTCTAAGGCTGGGTTGCACCATCTTACTTTGACTGTAACGAACGTCAAAAATCTGTCAAACTCCAAACAAAAATCACCGGTTATCGTTATAGTTACGGTCAAAGTTTGGAGGTGCAACTCAGCCTAAGTGACTCATAAATTTTATTGATTGGATCAAAGTAGCCGCTCAAGCTAAAAGTAAACAAGAAATGAACATCCCTTCGGATTAGTTCAAACAAAATACTGGCAACTCAAACAAAGTCCTTTAATCAAGGAATAAAATGCTTATAATTAAAATCATTCAGGCAAACTGACTTAATTATACAGAGCCAGCCTCCATAATAATTATAATGCTTTGGCGAGATCGTTGACTTTGCCATGTCACTGATCCCAAATTATGCTAAAACATAGTTGTATCATTGTTGTATGACACGTGGCAAAGCGTTTCCAATTTCAATTCCATTTGAAATCACGTTTTGCGGTTTTTAAACGATACTCTCAGTTCCTTTCATGCGTTTTCACTAAAGCCTTCGACACAAAAGCAGCGGTGACAATAGTGGGGTTGGGATAGGTGTGCCTCAAGGTTTTGCTTTCGGTCCATTGTTGTACAGCGTAAGTATAAAATGTTTATCTTCAAGAAAGAAATAGTGCGTTTATCTGGTCACTAGCTTTCCGCCCGCAGCTTCGCCCGAAGAAGATTTTTTTCTGTCAGGAAAAGTTAATCGCGCGCGTCCCTGTTTCTAAAACTGAGATAAAAACTATCCTATGTAAGGACATACGGGAAAGGCCCGGGACTCAAACTATCTCTATGCATTTCATAAAAATCAGTGTTTCATCAATCAGTGGTTTAGGCGTGAAAGCAAGACAGACAGACAGACAGGCAGTTATTTTCGCATTTATAATATTAGTATAGATAGTAGATATAAAGATAATAGTGAAAACATACACAGTGAATTTAGATTATATTTTAAGCTGAAAATCAGTAGCATCAATTCTTAAAAAACATAACCGTTTTTGGTTCATCTAAAATGTTCTTTTATTTAATAATGAAAATTATAAAACGAACCAGAATCTGTGCAAAGCCACAATAATATTGAACTATGAAACTAGACTCTCGTATTATAAAGTGACACTCCTATATCTGCCAATCCACCCAATTACAGTATTGAATCTAAGCTTAAGTTCGAATACAGCTCTGAGCTATGTTTCATTATTACAAGCCTTCGGTTATCCTGGAAACTGTACGCTGACTATCACACTAATGCGAGGATATTGGAGAAATCAATATTATCATGTATTACCTAGACGTAGAATTCGTAATATCTCTGATTGACTGATGTTTCGATATTTGAATAAATAATTACACTAACACTAATAGCTTTATTGCTATTAATAGTCCGTAATAGGTTAGGAATGGTTTACCCCATCAACACATTAAGATATTAACATTATCGAATACAATAGGCCATTGTTTCAGCCATCTCATATTAATTAAGGACAATCATTCTAATTAGAGTACCTCAATTACATAATTATGTTCAATTACAATTACATTAACGGTTAAAATAATTTGCACTGTAATATAAATTGTATCAATAAACTAAGTTTCTTAAAATCAAAAAATATCTTTATTTGTATAAACTAATTATTAATTTAGTACAAATCGTCAATAATAATCTTAAAGAGCCTATACAATACACGTCTCATTCGTTTTTTGCCCTACCCGCTTCCAGAAATTTTTTAGGCAAGTGTTAAGAAAAATTATCGCAACAAACACAGTCACCACACCACTGCCTGCCTGTTTAAAAATGGTAAAATTGGTATTACTAGTACCTATTCCTATCAATTTCATTTTTATAATATGTTTACTTACGCGTACGTAATCAGAAATTATGAATCAATATTAACAGCTTTAGCAATAATGCAAGCAAAGTATCTACACATGCCTCTGAATACATTAGGAAGGCTTGGGACTTGTACATCAATTTAACGTGCTTTGCCTGTGTAGAAGGCCTTATGAATTCAAATTAGCTCCGAAACAGAATACCAATGTTCATGTTTATTGCATTAGTAACGTACACGCAAGATATCCATGACAAATGTTTGTACAGCAATGTCGTCGTTTGCAAAAATGTCGAGATAACATCTTAAGTATTTATGTGGCACACATTACGGTCCATAAGGCGCATTGGTTTTTAATAGTTTTTATGGCGTGTTCAGTATAACGAGATTTATGGTGCAGCATAATGTGTATGGTTATCTGCTGGTATGTAAATTTTGTTTTAACATTACACAGTTTATTCGGAGTTTGGTCATTTGGTAGTATGATGATTTTCTTTTGTTTAAACTATAAAATGTATCGCCATGTAGATCAGGTAAAATAATAAAGTTGCCTACAAGGCAAAAAAGGAAGGCATTTTGAATAAAAAAATCTAATCAGCCATTACAAGCCCAAGATAAATCAAATGATGTGGAAGTAAGCGCGGGCCCAACAAAAAATACTTGAACGAGGGCCTCTCCTGAAAAAGGGCAACGTGAAAAATTTACAAGCAGATGAATTCACTCAATTTGGCACAAAAAATCTGAGAGCCTGTTCAACAAGCACTTATCAAAATAATAACGGCGTAAGAAATGAAACGAACAAAACAGGTCGATGTCGATTTAAGCAGGAGTCGGTAAGCCGCAAACATCATAAATAATTCGTTATAAAATTCGGAGCTTTTTCGTAACGAAAATGCGTAAAACATCGCCGTGTTTGAACAATAAAACAGCGGGGTAGAAAAATAAACATTTCTCGCTGACATTTCTCACGCAGAACTATTTCGAGTGCTGGAGATAGAAAATATATACTGATACGTCTAACCATAGATACTCCATCTAATGGAACGTCAGTTCTATAAAAACATAGATATTTGATAAAGGTGAACACGTGAAATATTATCCCCGAATGTTTCTGACAATCCTTTCTAGGTTCGTGTACGATTTGCCTGCAATATTCAATGTTCCTTTGTTTTCTTTGAAGCGTGATACAAAGTGAACCGGGATCCTTTTGTACTATCTTTGATGATTATTTTATTGTTTGATCGTGGATGGTTTCGATGAAATTGACATCTACAATAAATATATTCTATCTATAAACGTTCGGTACTCACCTTTAGAGAAGTGACAGAGTATTTCGATGATATCTTTGTATTATCAAAATTCACGTTTCGTCGAAGTAATTTACGAACGTATTCTCTTTCGATTCTCGTTCGCGTCATATCTCTTATTCCTAACAATGTATTGGTAAAACGTTTTTTGTTTTATTCTCATAGTTACAAGAATATGATAAAATGTTTTGTTTGTCAGATAACGTACGATACAATTATGACTTGTCGCGTTTAGATCAACAATGTTACTGTTTTTCTTCAACGAAACTACTAACATAAAGATGAATTATTTATAAAGTATTGAGTTCGCCACTAGTATTTTTTTACGTTTTCAAATTGTAATTGTTAATGTAGCTGGCAAGCAAAGCGGCGTTATAAAGTTTCAAGTTGCTATGGAAACAATGTTTGGTTAATTGTCACTTGTGTCAGGAAATAATAAGAGCTATCCATGGTGTATTCTTCTACTGCAAAATAACACTCAACTACGCTCTGCTACAACAGGTTATGGGCCCAGATCTTTCGAGTTAGAAGATGGATCTGACGAGAGTACAAATTGCAAAGTTGGACACCAACAACTGGGTCCAATGGAGGTACCGGATGTCCGCGGTACTATCGGGCATTGACGGACTATTGGATATAGTTGAAGGTAGAGCAGTAGAGCCGGTAAGACCTGAAGCAGCTGCGGGAGATGCAGCGGGTGCGGCAGAGTCATTGGCAACTTACATTGCTGCTGTTAAAGAGCACAGGCGATTGGAAAGCATAGCTCTAGTTCTCATAACAAATAATATAAGCGATGAGACATTGGACAAAGTTATAAGACTGTCGAAACCTAAGGAGGTATGGGAAGAATTGCACAAACTGTATGATGGTGTAAATGACAACAAAGTTTACGATTTGTGTCTGGATTTTTTCCGATATACCAAGGCGGATTCTGATGACATGGCGACTCATATATCGAAATTAAAGAATCTTTGGTTCCAATTGCGACAAGAATTGAAAAAGGTGGAAGCTGGTGCTGATTTGCCAGAGCTTTTATTAATTTGCAAGATATTGGATACCTTGCCTGAATCTTATTTTTCGTTTAAGGCGAGTTGGCTGTTGATGTCAAACAAAGACCGGACGGTTGACAATATAACAAGTCAGTTATGTTCTCATGAAAAGGCACTTAATAGCAAGGAAGGAGAAGTCAGTGCTGGGGCGTTTGCTTTGAAATCCAAGAAAAAGGATTTGAGGAAAGAGCAAAGTCAGGAACAGGGTACAGACTTCAAAGGAAGCAAATTGAAATGCTTCAAGTGCAAGCAAGTGGGTCATTTGAAAAGGGACTGCCCAAGGAGACAAAGTGATGTTGAAAAGAAAACAAATGCAGGAGTGAGCATGATGTTGCCGCTTTATTCCATGAATGTCACTATAGACCAAAATAATTGGTATGTGGACAACGGCGCAACGCATCACGTCACAATGCGGAAAGATTTATTTCAAAGCTTTGATGTGTTACGAGATTCTCATACCGTTACAACTGCAGACGGAACAGCAATCCGTGCAGAAGGTAAAGGAACAGTCAAAATCGCAGCTGTAATTGATGGTAAGCGAGAAGAGGCGACGCTAAATGAAGTTTGGTACGTTCCCCAGGTGAAAATGAATCTATTTTCAATACTTGCTGCACAGGATCGAAATCCTGGGAGTATTTTCAAATCAAATACTACAAGTTGTCAAATCATAGTTGATGGGAAAGTTGCAGCTACTGGAATGAGACAGCGATTTGGAGGGCTGTATAAGCTGGACTTCAAAGCCATTCCTCAGGAAAATGCTACAATCAATATGGTACATGAAGACAACATGTTACAGGTATACCATGAACGTATGGGTCATCAGAACAAAAGACACGTAAGAAAGGTTCTTGAACGTGATCTGGGTATCAAGGTCACAGGAGACGGTGAATTGTGTGAAGGGTGTATCTTCGGGAAAGCACATCGGCAAAAATTTGGAGTGCGAGAGAGAGCAAAGACACCAGGAGAAAGAATTCATACAGACGTCTGTGGACCATTCCCAATGAGTATTTCTAAATACAGATACTTTTTATTATTCAAAGATGACGCTACAGGATACCGTCATGTATATTTTCTGCGGCAAAAGTCAGAAGTATACGAGAAGTTGAGTCAGATGCTGACAGAATGTAGAACTTCTGGGCATACGGTGAAGGAACTTCTGAGTGACAACGGCGGCGAGTTTGATAATGACAAAGTTCGGAGTATTTTGCAGAAATATGGCATAAAACAAAGGCTGGTTATGCCTTACACACCAGAACAAAATGGGTGTTGTGAACGAGATAACCGTACTATCGTTGAATGTGCAAGATCGATGATGCATGCTCATGAGGAGTTACCTCAGATGCTATGGGCTGAACTTGTTCAGACGGCTGTATATATTTTAAATAGAACAGGACCGAGTGTGGAAAACAAGTCTCCATATGAGCTTTGGTATAATAAAAAACCCGGAATAAAGCATTTGAGGATTATCGGATCGACTTGCTATGCGCACGTACCGAAAGAAAAGCGAAAAAAGTTGCAGAAAAAGGCGGTAAAATGCATTCTTATCGGTTATGACAACGATGACGGTTACAGGCTGTGGAACAGACAAAACAATAGTCTGATAAGGTCTAGAGATGTCACCTTTGATGAAAAACCTCTAGAAACTTCCCTGGAGAAGGATGACAATGAAGAAGGATTTAATGAATTTGAAATTTCATTGGCACCATCCAGTTCCAAGAGTCCAGTGACAGCTCCGGAGGAAAATTTGAGAATAAACTCTGATAATTTTGATGAAAATGTAAGAGAGCACAGGTTTCAGGAAGATGTTGGTCGAACTGAAGAAAATCTCGAATTAGGGGGGGGGGAAGAGAATGATGAAGAAGATAATGACGAGGATCATCATGAAATATTGGAAGAAATTGATGATGATAGCGATCAAGTTTACCATGATGCGAACGACGAAAGATCAGTTGATGATAGTGGTAGAGTCCTGAGAGATCGTTCTAAGTTGAGGCCACCTCAGAAATTCGAAGATTTTGTGATGCAGTTTGCGAACAACATGAACAACAGTAGTGAACCTACCTCATACAGTCAAGCTATTGAGAGTTCAGATCGAGTTTTATGGCAGAAAGCCATGCAAAGTGAAATGAATTCACTGAGGGAAAATAAGACTTGGACTTGCCGAAATCGTGGCAGCAAGTGAAGCAGCTAAAGAGTGCATATGGCTGACACGACTTATGAAGGACATCA